GATTCGTTGATGAATGACCATGGAAATACAAAGACAACTTTGACATTTATATAAAATGTGTATGGGTCAGTGTGATGGGCCACCTTGACGCGCGTCTTGAAGCGCGAAGCTTCTTGACCAGTAAGAGCTACCTCTTCCTGGACCAAACTAATTACCAAACTCTCCCATTCACAGGCACTGAATGGGCCCTTGTAGATTTGGCACTTCCTATGAAGGTAAATGAGAGGCATACTACAGATGATCATTTATATGAGTCTCTCTCATGCTGCTTTTCAGTGCAAATAAGAACAAGGTCAGGTTTAAAACTCGTGGATGGTCGAGGAAGCAAGGCAGGTTAGAACTCGGGATGGTCGAGGAAGACAGGTCAGTTTAGAACTCGTGATGGTCGAGGAAGACAAGGTCAGGTTTAGAACTCGTGGAGTCGAGGGAAGACAAGGTCAGGTTTAGAACTCGTGGATGGTCGAGGAAGACAAGGTCAGGTTTTAGAATCAGTGGATGGTCGAGGGAAGACAAGGTCAGGTTTAGAACTCGTGGATGGTCGAGGGAAGACAAGGTCAGGTTTAGAACTCGTGGATGGTCGAGGGAAGACAAGGTCAGGTTTAGAACTCGTGGATGGTCGAGGGAAGACAAGGTCAGGTTTAGAACTCGTGGATGGTCGAGGGAAGACAAGGTCAGGTTTAGAACTCGTGGATGGTCGAGGGAAGACAAGGTCAGGTTTAGAACCGTGGATGGTCGAGGGAAGACAAGGTCAGGTTTAGAACTCGTGGATGGTCGAGGGAAGACAAGGTCAGGTTTAGAACTCGTGGATGGTCGAGGGAAGACAAGGTCAGGTTTAGAACTCGTGGATGGTCGAGGGAAGACAGTCAGATTTAGAGCGCGTGGATGGTCGAAGGAAGACAGTCAGGTTTAGAACTCGTGGATGTTCGAGGGAAGACAGTCAGGTTTAGAACTCGTGGATGGTCGAGGGAAGGCAAGGTGAGGTTTAGAACTCGTGGATGGTCGAGGGAAGGCAAGGTGAGGTTTAGAACTCGTGGATGGTCGAGGAAAGACAAGGTCAGGTTTAGAGCACGTGGATGGTCGAGGGAAGACAAGGTCAGGTTTAGAGCGCGTGGATGGTCGAGGGAAGACAGTCAGGTTTAGAACTCGCGGATGGTCGAGGGAAGACAAGGTGAGGTTTAGAGCTCGTGGATGGTCGAGGGAAGACAAGGTGAGGTTTAGAGCGCGTGGATGGTCGAGGAAAGACAAGGTCAGGTTTAGAACTCGTGGATGGTCGAGGGAAGACAAGGTGAGGTTTAGAACTCGTGGATGGTCGAGGGAAGACAAGGTCAGGTTTAGAACTCGTGGATGGTCGAGGGAAGACAAGGTAGGTTTAGAACTCGTGGATGGTCGAGGGAAGACAAGGTGAGGTTTAGAACTCGTGGATGGTCGAGGGAAGACAAGGTGAGGTTTAGAAGCGCGTGGATGGTCGAGGGAAGACAAGTGAGGTTTAGAGCGCGTGGATGGTCGAGGGAAGACAAGGTCAGGTTTAGAGCGCGTGGATGGTCGAGGGAAGACAAGGTCAGGTTTAGAACTCGTGGATGGTCGAGGGAAGACAAGGTCAGGTTTAGAGCGCGTGGATGGTCGAGGGAAGACAAGGTCAGGTTTAGAGCGCGTGGATGGTCGAGGGAAGACAAGGTGAGGTTTAGAACTCGTGGATGGTCGAGGGAAGACAAGGTCAGGTTTAGAGCGCGTGGATGGTCGAGGGAAGACAGTCAGGTTTAGAACTCGTGGATGGTCGAGGGAAGGCAAGGTGAGGTTTAGAACTCGTGGATGGTCGAGGGAAAACAAAGGTGAGGTTTAGAGCGCGTGGATGGTCAGCGCCTGAAGCAAATATCAAACACTGATGGTTCTTGATCGCTGTTTTGTCGGGGTCATGTTAATGCTGGTGAGAGCCCAGGCAAGCTAAAACTACCAGTGTTCTGACTAACTTGACTGTATTAGACGTGACAATCTACTTTGACTTCAGACACACTCGCCTTTGTAAATGATTTTCCTTAATGACCAGTGTGGCTTTATCCCGAGTCATGAGGTGTTCATGGGAATTTTGGTGTATGACATAAGCATTAACTATCCCTTCAACGTACATACTTCCGCTCTTTCAGTGTTCCACTAACAGCTGTGATGGACTCGTTAAGTTTAGTGTATTTCTTCTTCACAAGATCCTTGATGGTAGTGGAGTTGACAGGCGAGTGATTCTTCCTAAAGATGCTTAAGGCTCTCCTACAGTGGTTGATGAAAGGGGGAATATGAAGCCGAGTGAACACCTGGTGAATGTAGGAAGGCTCCTCCTTCAGGAGCTCGTGGCTGGAAATATTTTCAGCTCTCAGGAACAATGACCACACTTGTCTTAGTTCTAGACTCATGTTGTGAGTAAAAGTGTAACAAATCGTCCTTGTTGGCTAGTTTCCGATTAACTTTAAAGGTAAGCTTATCTCAGGAATGTACTAAGCAGGATATTCAGGAACGAAAGTTTATCAACTTGTTCCTCATCCTTGGTGAACTTGTGCACTTATGAACTTGTGAACTTATCCAGTTAGCGTAACCATGTCACTCCTGGAGGTGGGCAACCCACAACACTCTGCCACCATCTGCTTTATATACAAATTAGCTAAAACGGCACTTGAGGAGCAAGCTCAAAGTAAAAATATTATATAATCTGTAACATATATTTCTTGTGCCTAATTAGCCGAATTTGCCAGTAAGTTTATTCAGGTAGTTAGGCTGAATATTCAATTAGGCTGAACTTCTCTAAAAAATAGACATTTCCAAAATTTTCTTTTATATATTAATAGATATATATTTTCATTTAAAATAATGTTAATTTTTGCCAAACAAACTTAGGGTGTAATGAGAGAAGAGTTGAAGGAAGGAGAAAGAGAATCAAGGCAGAAAAGTGACAGGGAAAAGAGGGAGAAGGAAAGTAAAAAAAATATGTAAAACTCAATACTGGAGAATTAGTGAGGCAGAGGATGGAAGGAGGAAGTAAAGAAGAAAGAGGAGCAGGAGAGAAAAAAAACAAGAGGACGACGACACTGATGAGGAAGAGGAGAAAGAGGAAGTCGAGAAGGAAGTAAAGGAGGATGATGAGAAGGAAAGAAGGATAGGAATAGGGAATATTCAAGGTAGAGGAGAGAGAAATAGGGTGATAATTTGTGAGACAGAGTTTCCCCCCCACAAGTGTCAGCTGCGGCCAAATATTTACATTGTCAAGGATGTTTCCCGGAAGACGCCACATTTACTTTTTACGCTCACTCTTCTGCGTATTGTGTTTTCTCTTGTTATATTCTGCGCTATTCTGTTGTGTTCTGAGCTGCTGCACTGTGAGCTGCTGCACTGTAAGCTGCTGCACTGTGAGCTGCTGCACTGTAAGCTGCTGCACTGTGAGCTGTTGCACTGTGAGCTGCTGCACTTGTAGCTGCTGCACTGTGAGCTGCTGCACTGTAAGCTGCTGCACTGTGAGCTGCTCATGTAAGCTGCTGCACTGTGAGCTGTTGCACTGTGAGCTGCTGCACTGTAAGCTGCTGCACTGTGAGCTGCTGCACTGTGAGCTGTAATGCTTTTGTGATACATGACACGGTTTTATCATTTAAAAGGGTTAACTTGTCACTACTAAATAATACGCGGAATTTAAACAAAAGATTCTTGAATCGATTATACGTGCATAGGTTAGTGAAGTGCACACTGCAGCGTGGTCATCTGGGGAGGGTCGAATATAGAATCGTGTGTGCGCCGTGGAATGCGTGATGCGCCGCTGTGAGACAAGCTCAGTAATGACTGGCAGGCACTTTTGATTGGCTTAGAATGAGGTGAATTCTCGTAGACTTGGCCACGAGGGATAGTGTCTGGAAAGTTATATAAGCTAGCGAGATACTCATTCAGTATCCTTTTTGGCTCATTGTCAAAATCTGGCTGCGGCCATTCCTAACGAGTCGAGTGACAGTGTCTTGACTGTAAGTCTCGGACGTTACTTTGTATGTAATCTTTCAAAAACCGTTACCACAATGATAGTAGAGTCGAGTCGAGTCGATTCATGAATACAGTGAGACCCATTGTTACGTCCATCATCTCTAGAGTATCATTGAGTGCGCTGGAAAAGCAATGCAGCTGGAGGATTTGATGAAATGAATACGCATTTCCTGGATTAACTGAATAAATTTAGAGAAAAAACAACAGTAGCGAGGAAAGTGACCCAGTGACTGTGGAGACTCCACACATTTGGTGTCAACACAGACTTATTCATTGACTCAAGTTACAGATCAAGTACAGATCAAGAACACCATCTTCTGGGACACATTTTAGATTAGTTCAATAAATCTGTTGTTGATGCTGTTAATCAAGATTTTAAATTCACAGGTTTTGCGTGTGGTGACGGTATTATGGTGGTGCTGTGGTGGTATTATGTCGGTGTTTTTATGGTGGTATTATGGCTGTGCTATTATGATAATATTATGGTAGTGCTATTGTTATAGCGGTATTATGGAAGTACTATTGTTATAACGGTATTATGGAAGTACTATTGTTATAACGGTATTATGGAGATGCTGTTGTTATAACGGTATTATGGTGGTTCTATTGTTATGGTAGTATTAAGGTGATGCCATTGTTATGGCAGTACTGAGGTGGTGTTAGTGGTGGTGTGTTGCCAGGGTGAAGGTCCAACCTGTGTGGTGAGTCGCGTTGCGTCACCAACAAACCGGTCAATTTAAGCGTGGTGACACCTGTCACTTGTAAAATGACTCGTGAAATTGGAGCGAGGTAAATGTGTATTGTGATACATCACCCACACGTCAGTTTGTGTCAGGTAATGCCACGCTGCCTTCCACGCTTTTGAATGTGACCTGATGAGCGTGACACTGATGATTATGACATTAGGAACATGACTGATAACGGTAACTTTACATGGCTTAACTCTTGTATTATATGGCGCCCTAACAGATGAACAGATAATATTGTTTCTTCAGAGAAGGCAGCCCGAGTGTTTCTTCAGAGAAGGCAGCCCGAGTGTTTCTTCAGAGAAGGCAGCCAGAGTGTGAGGCATGACAGCCTCTCGCGGGGTGGGAGACTTGCTGGCCATGGAGGGCAGCCATCCTGACCACGTTATAACTTTCGACAAGAGCAAGGGTTGCTACGTGAGCCGTAGCGTTGGTGTGCTCTTAGGCGTCTTCTTCGTCAGTGCTCTGGTAGTCACGGGGCTCCTAGTCTTTTACTACGCCCCTCAGAAGAGAGACCTCCACCACGAGTCTCTCTTGCTCTCCAGCACTCAGGTAACACAGGTTAGTCTGGAATCATAAATACATTCATTAGAATGTTTTATCTGGTTATAGTTTAGCATTTAAGCCATACGGTAACTAATTACTCTCCTTCAACAGTCAACAGAGAGGAAACCCATTATGGGTAGGAGGCGGAGCAGCAATTCCACCAAGATACCTGCGTCTGCCAGGTCCAACGGCACCAACAAACGCCTTGCAGGTAGCAGAACCAAGGTTACCAGTACCACGAGGGCACCCACCATACTCCTTAACACCACTACAGAGGCGCCTTTACACGAAGAGATGAATGTACGTCTTCCGAGAGCACTGAAGCCCCTCCATTACCTGGTCAAACTTCAGCCTTTCATCAGCGGAAACTTCAGCATCTTGGGCTACGTGGAGGTGGAGATGGAGGTACTGGAGCCAACCTTCAATATCACTCTCCACATCGCAGATATCATCACCAAGAATGAAACTATAAGGGCGAGTAACGCTATTTCTTCTTGCGCCGAATGGCACAGATTAAAGACTGATGAAGCCACTCGTGGCAGAACTTTTCCTTAAATAGATTTCAGTTGTACACAGTATCCTTTTCCACACGGATTTATAGTTTCACATAATTTAGGTCATTAGTGATTGTTTAACACATTTTAGCTCTTTTAACAGTACCGTGTATTAGCATACATTCACTGAGAGAAATAGACGCATTTTAGACATGACCGCCAGTACTTCAGTGAATTAGCAAACTCCTAGCCTTAACTGTTTATTGATGACAAAAATAACTGAGAAAACGTCAAATTTCAAAAATCTATTTTTATTAGCTTCAGTTTCGACATATTTTTTTTATTTTGTAGCAGAAATGCAGAGGTCACTAATCCCTATAACAGTAATGACCTTTGTTGCATTTGTATTTTTATATTTATTCTGATGCAAATAGCTTTTAAGTATCATAAAATATTGATCAACGTTCAATAATAGCTTTACAACTACCAATGATTTTGTCTTTATAATACATAAATTTTCTCTAACTTGTAAGTACGTGTGTGTTGCAGGTGGCTGCAGTGGGTGATTTAGAAGGTCTTGGTTTAAAGGTGAGAAAACATGAGTACGACCCTGAGCGACAGTTCTACGTGGCCCACCTGGAGGAGGCGCTGCAGCAGAGCCACAAGTATGTCCTCTCTATGGAGTTCCTGGGTTACCTCAATGACCAGCTTCACGGCTTCTACCGTTCCAATTACAGGGATGCTGATGGTACCGAGAAGTGAGTTGATAATATAAAGACCAGTAAAGGCACATTGATAACTCTGGATTTTATTTTAAATCTCTGGACTCTGCCTTGAAATGTAAATAAACCCAACATATCACTCAAATTTCTTGAATAATTTTTGACAATCGTAGTAGCCTAATAAAATTTGAAATAGAAATTTGTTGCTCGAAATCCAAATGTCAGTAGTTGATTTTTACTCTCCCATTTTTTTTTTTAAATTTTAGTGGCCTTTTCAGTATTTTTTGTCAGGAAGTTTTAGTTGTAGGGATCATTGATTTATAGGGATTGGATCTTGCTCGATGTCCGGAATTAGGCCTGAATCCTCACTCCCCCACGCGTATACCGATTAGGGTTCCCTGATTATATATATATCAGTATATTTTGAGAGTGAGTCATGTAGGGAGTAATTGATGATTAATAGAAAGGGTTAGGATTGTATGTTGGAAAGGGCATGAATTATTTCGATACGAAAGGGTTCATGACTAGTGTAATATTTATGAAGAATTATTGCAAGAGAGGGTGGTGAAGCTTAATCTTGGAAGGGCGATGAAATGATGAATGTTTTGTAAATGAAATGGAAGGGTCGTAATTATGGAAGTGGGAATTACGTATATTAGTTTCTAAATAGTAAAATAAGTTCACTCACGATGAATTACTGACATTTGACATTTAACTATGTAAATGTAATGAAATGCTAATGAGATAAATTTTACCCGAGGCACTTAACGCTGAAGTAGCTTCGTCATGTGTTGGGAAGTGTGATGGCCCAGTCCTTCTGTGAATACTGGATATTAGCTTTTGAAGTTGATTAATAGAGTTTAAAGCCTTTCGACCACACGAAGATCTAATCATTAAGGCTGCATGCATAATATGTATATGTATATATATATATATATATATATATATATATATATATATATATATATATATATATATATATATATATATATATATGCATGCAGCCTTAATGATTAGATCTTCGGGCTGCTAGGCTTTGAATCGATATGCAGCGTTGAATGACCCTAGTAGGTTTAGCGCTTCCTTTGGATTATAATAATAAAAATTTGAATCGATATTCTAGTTAATATAATAATTTGTAAGAATAATGATTTAACAAAATGCAAAAATTTTCCCTGTCTTTTTGCATTATTATTTATAATGGGCAATCACTAAACTCGTATAGATCACTCAGCGTCTTTGCAATGAGAGTTAATCAGGTTTGATACGAGGGGAGGGGTATCTCCAGTTCCCTAGATCAAGAGCCTTTCATCATAAACACACATCAGTTAATGGGCATTTTCATTTTTTTTCTAATTTGTGTACCTCATTGGATATAACTCTACCTCTTCCCCCATCCCCATAATTCCACTTAAATAAACATTGTTGCTTAAATGATATTTTATAATTTTGTATAAATGCGTCTGATACCAATAAATAATATCATGACAGGACTCTGGCAGTGACACAGTTCCAGGCGACGGACGCTCGTCGAGCCTTCCCTTGCTTTGACGAGCCGAGTCTGAAGGCTACCTTTGAGGTGTACCTGGCCCGCACCACCAACATGTCCTCTATATCAAACATGCCCATCATTGAGACTATACCTATGTGAGTATCTCACCTCATAGTTCAGTGTGTGTGTTCTGTGTCAATATTACACTTCACAGTTCAGTGTGCATGTCTAGTGTAAGCATGGCGCCTCATGTAGGTGTCCGAGACGTGATCGATTTAATATTACACCAATCATTATAGTATTATAAATATTTCTCATGAGTAATCTAATGAGTAGCAGTAACACTACTGGATTAAGAAACAATTCAAAGCTAACCACCAATTAGAAACGGAAACCAGACAACGTTTCGATCCGTCCTGAACTAATATTATAGTAGAACGACTTGAAAATGCTGAGGAGGGTAACTCATTACGACTGTGACCTGATATAAACGTAAATAGTTCATTACTGCTGTAACTTGTTCAGCTATCAAAACTTCGTGGCTCAGTCCCTGGACCCATTATATACTTCTGTAATCTTTTGACTGCCGCCCAAGGGATGGGTATGGGGTACATAATAAAAATATTAAACTAAACTCAGGAGGGACTGAAGCATTCCTATTTTGTGTTCTATAAACTGTTTAATTTGATTAAACATAAACTCATCACCGTTATCAGTCAATTGAAGAGAAATACACTGAATTTATAAAGATTAATCTTTTTTTATAAAAAAAAATTTGATGAAAGTGTCATAGCGCTTAATTGTATATATAATACTATTGATGAGTGTTGTTTATATTTAAATTAATAGGACTAGAGTGATTAATAAGTTACTTGGGTTATCATAGGTAATTTACACATGTTACTACGTATGTTAATTGTACTTATGTGTACTTGTACCTAAATAAAGTTACTTACGGTACAGGGAGGAGGAGGGATGGGTCTGGGACCACTATGATACCAGTGTACCCATGTCAACCTATCTGGTCGCCTTCGTGGTGTCAGACTTTGCCAGCCTCACTACTACCACTGCCAACAACCACACTGTCTTCAGAGGTAAGTACTTGCCTTGTTGTTGCTATTATTATTATTATTATTATTATTATTATTATATTTCTGGGTAAGGTCTATATCTGTAGATGACTCACGAAATCGTAATGACACGATTGCAAACAAACCATACCATGGCGAGATTTGAACCCGCGGTCAGAGAGTCTCAAAACTCCAGACCGTCGCGTTAGCCACTGGACCAGCTAGCCACAATAAGATTCGTCCAACTAGGTATATTTCTACACCATAGGAAGGTTAGCATAGGCACCACTGTGACCAAATATACCTAGTTGGACGAATCTTATTGTGGCTAGCTGGTCCAGTGGCTAACGCGACGACTGGAGTTTTGAGACTCTGACCGCGGGTTCAAATCCCGCCCGTGGTATGGTTTATATCTGTAGATCATACAGCACTTTGGGAATGGGAAGTAATCAGGTTTGATCCATCAAAGAGGAGGGCGACCCTAGTGTCGTGGTTCCAGAACCCCCCTCTTCCCCAACAAACAGCATAACGGTTCTTGTATTGTTGGGTGTTGTCCTTATTATGTTGTGATGTGTTGACACTGTTTTAATCTGTTAATGCTATACTGCTGTCATATGTTACTACGAACATTTAGGGACCGTAACTGAAGGTATTTGAGTTGAAAGCTTTTTACTTAAAGAAATCTTCAACATTTCTTGGAACATTGGTAGTGAATAATTATTTAATAAAATTTATCAGTTAATTTACACATGAAAAAGACTTTAGCAGAACACAATAGCAACTGCTAATAATTTTTGTGACATTTTCCTTCTGTAGGTACAGGAATGCACAAGTTCTCGGAAATTGTAATTTAATTTAGAATTTATAAAAAAATTATAAGCGTGTATACTGGAAAACTCGAGCTTGAAGCACTAAATATATGGTAATACTCTTATGTCCGGTTACCACAGTGTTGTTTCCTATTTTTAATTACCCATTTGAATTTGCTGGGAAAGGAGGGGAGGGGGAGGATAGAGCTCTGCTCCTTGGTCCCGCCTCTTAATTTTCAATCCACTGATATTATTGATCCTAATCAGGTGTATTTATTTTTAATTCGTGTATGAGTTCACCTCAGCTGTCATTGTTCAGCTTGTTCACTTATTGTGTCAGTGTGGGCACGGGAGCCGGCGCTGCAGCAGGCTGAGTACTCCAGGCTGGTTGGACCACCCATTCTCACCCACTTCGAGGATTACTTCAACCAGTCTTATCCACTTCCCAAGCAGGATATGATCGCTATTCCTGACTTCTCTGCCGGAGCCATGGAGAACTGGGGCCTCATAACTTACAGGTAAGCACCTTCAGGTCTTTGTAAACAAACATGGCTAACTGTACACCCATTACCTGCAGTCAAAAGTACTCGTAAGCTACATATAGATCCTCTAATTATATTCATGGAGATCTAAACTCGAAGGGGTTATACAGTGTCTGAGAATGGAAGGTATTAAAGTTTGATCCAAGGATGACGGAGAGTATATCCGTAAATTCTCTGAATTAGAGCACAGAGTTGTAGCTTTCACACTCAACTGGAGGATATATATCTGTCTAACTGATCTTACTTTTCAGTTCGTTACTTGTATAAAATATTTTTTATAACCTTCTTAGGGATGAGGAGATTAAGGAACTGCAGTATTAAGAAATGCTTTATATAAATATTGAAACATCACATTATCATAAAACTAATGTTATCTATATTTAGCCACATTGTCTAAAAATTGGAAAAACACATTTTAATGTGTATTTGCCAGAACATATTCTCAATGAAATCTCCAAGCCATTTAAGCATTATAATTTAATATACAATATATCGGACATTTATCCGGTTTAATGATTAAAATAATCTCTACCAAGTTTTAGAGATGACCTTAAACATTGCTATAGTATTTAAATTCCAAATTTGATAAAAAGTCGTATTAATTCGTATATTATTGCTATGGTGGAAATAATTTCTAAGGTTGTTAAGCATGATATGAATTTTTTATTTATGAAGATGGAGAAAGTATGGAAGGTGAAGCAGGAAAGACTGTGGAAGCAAGATCACCAGAATAAAACTATGGAAAATGACTTCAGAATTTATCTGCGTTGCTTTTTCTAAATGAGCGCCTGACAACTCTTGTAATTGAATGACTTTCTTGGAGCAAAAATGAAGTTAGATCTGGTAGGCAGGGTATTAGCGGCCTTAAAACACACATTGTCTGCGGTGGCCTTTGTCAAAAGAGACCATCAAAACATCAGCCCCAGTTCACAAAACATGATGCATTTATTATAATGAATTATTTGTTTATTACATGACTTGTAACTTGCATTGTGTTAAGAGTAGTAACTGATGTTTACCCTAGGGAGACGGCAATGTTGTATGACCCCAGGGTGTCTGCAGCCTCCAACAAGCAGTATGTGGTGGCAGTGGTCGCTCACGAGCTGGCTCACCAGTGGTTCGGAAACCTCGTCACCCCGCGCTGGTGGACCGACCTCTGGCTCAACGAGGGCTTCGCTTCCTACGTTGAGTACATCGGTATCAACCATGTGAGTCTTGCTGCCAGAAAAAAAAATTGTGTGTGGAGTATCTCGTTACATAACATAGCTTTTAGAATATAGATAATTGTTTACAATGTTTGATATTAGGAGCTAGGTTACGTCCAGGCGTCGCCCACACAATGCGAATGGACGTCTTCAAATCAAATGATGCACTCACAAATACGTCACACTACCGTGGCTGCAACAATTCATAACTAATCAAGACTTGATAACAGTCCGTCTCGTTACTCTTATCAAGCTGTTGAACCGATCACAGAACGAACAGACATTCAACATTCTCCTCTGGGATTAATTTAGATGAAGACTGCGAACCAACGTTTATTGATAAACAGACCATTTAAGAAACTAGTTCTATATATATACTTGATTGTTTACGAGATTCTCATGGGTTTTGGCACAAAGTATTTGAGAAAACAGTCCCCTCAAGGGAGGTTCTTGAAGCTGGTGAGGAGCTCTTGATCTAGGAAATTGGATCTGTGCTCTGGTTCCCTGAATTGAGTCTGAATACCTTCCATCCCCCCCACATGCGCTGTATAATCCTACAGGTTTAGCGTTCCCCCATGATTATAATAATAATAATGAGAAAATAGTCGGGGACAGTGGCAAATGCTAAAGCATGCGTCATCTAATTATATATTGACTTTAAAATTGCTGTTGTGGGTTAACTTGCCCATGGTGACCATTAAAATGTTAGTGCATGTTTTATGTGAAGATTCCGAACTAAACTGTAAATTACTTTCAGTAGAGTTCTTGGGACGGCGATGATGCGAGTGTAGTCAGTGATAACTGTTATTGTATCTGCCCTCATAGTTTAGTATATTCAAATTATAACAATAACACTTAAAAAATAATTTTATTGTAAAACTTTTTTGTCACTGAGTTTGTATGGTGTGACTCATACCGTCAGTTCTAGTATTTTAGCTTGCATGTGTTTTAGAGAGTGATAGGCACATTGGTGTGTGCAGGTGGAACCCACGTGGCAAGTGATGGAACAGTTTGTGCTCAATGAAGTACAGGTGGTGTTCAGTCTGGACAGCCTCGAGTCGTCACATCCCATAAGTATACCCGTTGTACACCCTGACGAGATCAGTGAACTCTTTGACAGGATCTCCTATGCAAAAGGTGAGAAGATGTGTGATATTAATTGAGGTAATTTCTCAGAAGCAAACGAGAACAATGTTTATATTGGAAATGAATCTAATGCTGTTATATTTATATTGTCATCGAAAATTAGTGGCACTGTACCAAACCTATTTTATGTAAAAATTAGAATTTTATTATTTTCCTCTTATGAAATTAATAAATTGTTAATGTAGAGGGCTCTTTCTCGCAACAGGAGCGTCCATAATCCGCATGATGAACCACTTCCTGACGGAGGACACCTTCAGGAAGGGGCTGAGCACCTACCTTGATGCCTTGTAAGTTTCATTGACCTCTGATAGTCTCAGCTTTACACTCTCTCCAACAGACAAAATGATAGCGCTTGTGTTGTTGATGTAATGTTTTGTTTTGATGCAGCAAGTATGGGAACGCTGAACAAGATGATCTGTGGGAACACCTTACACAGGCGGCTCACCAGGACGGCACGTTACCCCTCGATCTCACTGTCAAGACCATCATGGACACCTGGACCTTGCAGATGGGTTATCCTGTCATCACAGTGGAGAGAAGTCCAGACGGTACCTCCGCTTCTGTCTCTCAGGTGAGGTAACCAGGTGTGAGTGACAGTGCCTCTTCCATTTTTCTTTTGGTAAGATAATTAGATATTACTATGAGGTGACATAATGAGTGACACCATGGGAAGACGGATACCGCTTATTTTCACTCAACATGGGTGGAATTGTTTCCTCAGGCAGGCGTGATAATCGTACAATAATGGATCCTTTTTTTTTGGGGGGGGGGGGAGGGGTCCTTAAACCTGCCCTTAATGATTATCGACATGCAACTATTCTGTTTATTCTCAAATAATTGTAGTTTCCCCTACTATTTTTTTGCTTTTCTTTTCTAAGTCTTGTTGCGGTTTGTGTTGGTCAGTAAACGCCAGAATTCTGTGCTAGTAAACTGCAGCTGTAGGTAACTAGGGCGCGTCCTGTCCTTAAGTAAATTGCACGTGTCCCGAAGAAGAAAACATGCACTTTTTTTTTTTTAATTTTAGCGTTTCGGTTTTTGATAATGTAAATTGTATTTTAATGTTACATTGACATTGTTATGGTTCTCTTGCACTTACAGGAGCGGTTCCTCTTAGTTAAGGAAGGTGACTTTAAGTCTTCCGAGGAGTATAAGTGGTGGGTGCCACTGACCTACACAGGTGGAGACGATCCCAACTTTAACGAGACTCGGGCCAAGGTCTGGATGAAGGATACGGAGACACTCATCACCATCCAGTCCCTGCCCACCAAGGACCACTGGGTCATCTTCAACCTGCAGGAGACGGGTTACTACAGAGTTAACTACGACAACCACAACTGGAACTTGCTCATCCAACAACTGCTAACAGACCACACGGTCATCGCTACCATCAACAGAGCTCAAATCATCGACGACGCCATGAACCTTGCTCGAGCAGGTGGGTGAGTCCTGGTTCTAGTTAGACACTGGTAATAACTCACCCCCCTCCACGGACACGCACATACACATACACACACATCACTGAGGTCCGGAGCTAATGTGAAAGAATATGATCATAGAAATACATAAAGATTGGAGCCCCGACTTCCCCGTTAGTATTTTTATGGCAAACGCAAAACCACACATATTCACGACACTGTTCACCGTGTAAGTCAAGCCCATATTGGAGTACGCAGCACCAGTATGGAGCCTACACCTGGTCAAGCACCTCAAGAAATTGGAGATAGTGCAGGGGTTTGCAACACGACTAGTCCCAGGCTAAGGTGTATGTCCTATGAGGAGAGGTTAATAAACCTCTGCCTGATGGTACGGTAGACAGGAGGACGAGGGGAAAATATGATAACGACAGAAAATACTGAGAGGAATTGTTAAGGTGAACTGGGACAGTATGCTTCAGAGATGGGGAAATAGGAACAAGAGGGCACAGCTGGAAATTGAAAACTCAGATCGTTCAAGACTGTACACCGTGTATGTCAGGCCCATACTGGAGTATGCAACACCAGTTTGGAACCCACACCTGGTCAAGCATGTCAAGAAATTAGAGAAAGTGCAAATGTTTGCAACAAGGCTAGTTCCAGAGCAAAGGGTTAAAAGAAATCGGCCTGACGACACTGGAGGACAGGAGGGATAGGGGAGACATGATAACGACATACAGAATACTGCGAGGAATTGAAAAGGTGGAGAGACAGGATGTTCCAGAGATGGGACGCAGAAGCAAGGGGTCACAATTGGAAGTTGAAGACTCAGATGAGTCAGAGATATTAGGAAGTATTGCTTTAGTCATAGAGCTGTCAGGAAGTGGGAAGAGGGTCAACGTCCCCGCGGCCCGGTCTGTGACCCGGCCAGGAACCATACATAGTTTTAAGACAAAATATGATAAAGCTCATGGAGCAGGGAGAGGTCCTAGTAGCGATCAGTGTAGAGGCGGGGCCGGGAGATATGTCTCGACCCCTGCAACCACAAATGAGTACACATACAGGCTAGGAGAGTGAATCTTTTGGGCCAGGCGCTACATCCACATACAGATGAGTAAGTATAGGTGAGTGCACTGTGCACATAGTGAAGACACAGTACAGGTGAGTGCACTGTGCACATGGTGAAGGCACAGTACAGGTGAGTGCACTGTGCACATGGGAAAGGCACAGTACAGGTGAGTGCACTGTGCACGTGGTGAAGGCACAGTACAGGTGAGTGCACTGTGCACATGGTGAAGGCACAGTACAAGTGAGTGCACTGTGCACATGGTGAAGGCACAGTACAGGTGAGTGCACTGTGCACATGGTGAAGGCACAGTACAGGTGAGTGCAGTGTGTACATGGTGAAGGCACAGTACAGGTGAGTGCACTCTGCACATGGTGAAGGCACAGTACAGGTGAGTGCACTGTGCACATGGTGAAGGAACAGTACAGGTGAGTGCACTGTGCACATGGTGAAGGAACAGTACAGGTGAGTGCACTATGCACATGGTGAAGGCACAGTACAGGTGAGTGCACTGTGCACATGAAGGCACAGTACAGGTGAGTGCACTGTGCACATGGTGAAGGCACAGTACAGGTTAGTGCAGTGTGCACATGGTGAAGGCACAGTACAGGTGAGTGTAGTGAGCACATGGTGAAGGCACAGTACTAGGTAGTGCACTGTGCACATGGAAAGGCACAGTTTCAGGTGAGTGCACTGTGCACATGGTGAAGGCACAGTACAGGTTAGTGCAGTGTGCACATGGTGAAGGCACAGTACAGGTGAGTGTAGTGAGCACATGGTGAAGGCACAGTACAGGTGAGTGCACTGTGCACATGAAGGCACAGTACAGGTGAGTGCACTGTGCACATGGTGAAGGCACAGTACAGGTGAGTGCAGTGTGCACATGGTCAAGGCACAGTGCAGGTGAGTGCAGTGTGCACATGGTGAAGGCACAGTACAGGTGAGTGCACTGTGCACATGGTGAAGGCACAGTACAGGTGAGTGCACTGTGCACATGGTGAAGGCACAGTACAGGTGAGTGCAGTGTGCACATGGTCAAGGCACAGTGCAGGTGAGTGCAGTGTGCACATGGTGAAGGCACAGTACAGGTGAGTGCAGTGTGCACATGGTGAAGGCACAGTACAGGTGAGTGCACTGTGCACATGGTGAAGGCACAGTACAGGTGTGCAGTGTCACATTGTGAAGGCACAGTACAGGTGAGTGCAGTGTGCACATGGTGAAGGCACAGTACAGGTGAGTGCAGTGTGCACATGGTGAAGGCACAGTACAGGTGAGTGCACTGTGCACATGGTGAAGGCACAGTACAGGTGAGTGCACTGTGCACATGGTGAGGGCACAGTACAGGTGAGTGCACTGTGCACATAGTGAAGGGACAGTACAGGTCGTTCTTAGTCACTATGGCGCTCATCACTCTCCGGCCCTCGTATATTCTGTTAAAATATTCATATTAATGAACATTATTCTGGCAGTGGAAGCATCACGAGCAGACATTATGGTGGACAACAGCCAGTCACCGGTTGCTATGATCAATTATGTCTGCATTTTTATAGCTCTTCATAATGGTCTGGCTTCTCAATCAATGGTCCCCCACTCAGAGGGAGAGGGAGGAAGCAAGGGGGGATAATACTGAAGTAGGAATATGCAATAACGTTAAGTAGAAACATTCTTATTATAAGTAATATGACTCAGCACAGTAGTAAACCTTTTACACAATGCTACGTAAAGTTTTTGTAGGAAATTAATGAAAATGTCTTATTTGTTACCTTTCTTATCATAGAGAAAATGGTCTTAACCTCTTCGGATTATTGTTGTGTGTGTGTGTGTGTGTGTTGGGGGACTGTGGTGTGTGGGGGGACTGTGATGTGTGGGGGGACTGTGATGTGTGGGGGTCGGGGAAGTGACAGGAGTGTGTTATATTCACAGGGAAGCGATAAATCTGTCAACGTCATACAGCACCACCTTTTTTTGGGAGAGGATGAGGAAGTGGCGGACCTACATTTTTGGGGCCCTGAAGCTTGAACTGTTATGGGGGCCCCTTCTCATACAGAAGACCCAAAATTTTTAAGCTATGCGGATTAAAGTGACTTCTGGGGCCCCCTTCGGGATTAGGGGCCCCTTAAGCTTAAACTTCATTAATTTCATGGTAGATCCACATCTGGTTGGGGGTAGTCAGGTTTGACCCGATGGAAGAAAGTTTCAGTACCTTGGATCAAGAGTCATTCATCAGCTTCAAGGCATCCCTCGTCCCTTTCGCTTGAAGGAAGGAGAACATTGTGTCTAAGAACACGTCGAGACATCCTACTTACCAACCTTCAGTTTTTTCGAGGTCATTTTTACTTGTATAGGCTATAATTAAATGGCATAATCTATATATAAATCCAAGCAATGTTGAATAAACCTGTATATTAATGGAGAACAATGCAGTTCTAATTTCATTATTACCCCATTCTGTAAACCATTGTAATTATTAATGACCTCAAGTATAATGTTAGCATTTATATACTATGAAAGAGAAGTCTAGGCTCGAACTGTAATTAAAACTGATATCTTCTCAAACTAATCTTTATTTTATTTCTCTGTGATCTGTTTCATACGTTATTCATTATAGTATATATTCCTGACCTGCCTTCTATGTACCTTATATATATATATATATATATATATATATATATATATATATATATATATATATATATATATATATATATCCCTTAAGTTGTCATCAGTCGGCTGAAATGTTAAATTTTTCCCTAAACAAAACATAATTTGCAATATTTTTTATCATTAAACACCTACGCTCTGTATTGCTTTCTATCATAAACCCTAAAACACATACGTACTCTAAACAAATTAGGTGTAAACTTAAACACATGCATCCGACGCTACATAATTTTAAGGTCTACTCTTATCCATTTAACATAATCCCAGATCTACCCTAAAATACACAATCTATCCAAATTATCTTAATGTACTTATCTGCAGTACAAATGGTAGCGTAACGCCCCTGGCCCTCCTCGTGCAGATCAGGTGGCTTATGACACGGCTCTGGAGGTGTACAACTACCTGGGTCAGGAGACTGAGTATGTGCCCTGGGCCACCGCTATCAACAACCTGGCCTACCTTAAGGACATGTTCTCTCGTACTGGAGGTTATGGAGCGCTCAAGGTAAGGAGAATGTCTTGTACAAATAAGCCGCACATAGGAAAATGAAACTTAATGCAACGTTTCGGTCCGAATTGGGCCATCAGTTAGTCATACAAGCGCGAGGGGAAGGGAGCCAGTATTTATACAAGGGGGCTGGGCCGGGAGCAGAATGAGAGAAGGTAGTAGTATAATGGTAGTGGTGGTGGTTTTAGTAACAATTGGGGATGCAATTAACTCATGGTAATGATGTTCATAGTGGTTATTTGGTGAGGTCACATGTTCTTTGCTGTTTTTATGGCTGTATGGAATTCAGGGTAGAAAAAAAAAATCCCGAACCTGGGTATTATGGAACACACAAGGTTGGTTACAGAAGCAAAGTTCCTTTCAAAGTCATCGAGTGTCATGGAAAGTTTCAATGTAAAAATAATTATTTCTATCTAGCTTCAGCAAGGCTGCATTGCTACGTAGGTGAGAATGTTTTAAGTACTTCCCTCGAGGGAGGTTCCTTGGTTCTGGTGAGTGGCTCTTGATCTAAGGAATTGGACAAGTGTTCCAAATTCCTGAAGTCTGAATGCCTTCCATTCCCCAGGCGATGTATGACGCCAACGGATTTAGCGCTTCCCCATGAAAGTAATAATAATGCTCCAAGTATTGCTGACAGTTTGGTGTTAAGTGGCCTGTTGGCAATACTAAAGAAAAGTGCATATAACAGAAGCTGTTATTAGGAGACAGTTTCTGACTTTATGAAGAACTTAATGCATCGAAAATTTGTCCCAGTAACAGCTTTCTTAACTATTGGCTACAACTTTTTTATTTTTTTTTTTGCCTGTTCTAATTAAAACTGCGAGACATATTTCTCCATAATTTCTCATACATTCACATCATTAAAGCTGTAATTATCAGACTAGTGACAGCAGCACACATTACCTACTGAGCCAGCGCTTCCTCGTTGTGTTCCCCGGGGAAATTAAACAAGAAAACGTCTTCGGTAATACGGGAAATGTTATTTTTTACATAATTTTATATGTGGACTGCAAGTAAATTCGATTGTTGAAAGATGACTCGGGAAGATGACAGATTTTCCAAATAGTGAAGGAATTGCCACTTAGGCCAACACTAGGATATATGTACTAGAAGGCCAAGACTAGGACGTATGTACTAGAACGTTTGTGTCAAGAAACATTGATCACTTATAACATACAATGGTCAAGAATAATAATAGTATATGTAGGCATAAGAATGGGATACTTAACAACCAGTGCCCTAACTTATGGAGTGAGGTAAATGTTCTAGTGTTTGCTCAAGCGTCTTTCTTAAATCTCTTCAGACTGTGCATGATTGACTTTCCTTCCCCCATTCTGCCGGTCCCTAGGTATTGTGTGATCCTATAAGTTGTTAGCGCTCCCAAATAAATTTAATAACTCTTGGTGTTACGAAGAGTGTTGTTTTGTGACAGAACTACCTGCTGGATATACTGGTGCCACTCTACAACATGCTGGGCTTCATCGACAGTCAGAGTGATCCACTGCTCGACCAGTATAAGCGACAGAAGGCGCTCACCTGGGCCTGTGAACTGGAACACCAAGACTGTCTTCAGAATGCTGCTGCCATCTACGCCCACTGGATGAACAACCCTGATAATAGCAGGTACGTCCACTAGATGAACAAACTTGATAACATCAGGTACATCCCGTGGATGAACAAATCTGATTAAGTTGGTGCAAAAACAATTATTGACGCGGGTACCTGATCCTAATTATCATTATCAGACAATTTTCCTTTCTAGTATAAGGTGAGGCTAGCGTGTTTGAACACACCATTCTCTCCACTTTATCCCTTGTGGCCCAAAGTGTACACAAATAACCCTGAGACTCTACTGCACCCTTGCACAATATATTATTATTTATAAGTGCCCCATGTCAGAAGAGAACATATTTCTTTAGAGCAGGTGATGTAAACCACATTTTTCTTTGTGTCAGTATCATCTCGCCCAACCTCAAGTCGACGGTGTACTGCCACGCCATCAGTGTGGGAGGGGAGAAGGAGTGGAACTTTGCGTGGAACAAGTACCTGAAGAGTAATGTCGGTTCAGAGAAGATCCGCCTCCTGTCTGCCATGGGCTGCACCAAGCAAGTCTGGATACTGTCAAGGTAAGTGTACCAAGCACTTGTTAGCACGGGAGGGAGAGGACGGAAAGAGGATAACGGGGAGGGATGAGATATGAGAAAGGGAGGGAGAAAATAAAATGGGTAAAGACGAATGAAAATAGGGAAAGGGTTATAGTTGTAGCTGAATAACATGCATCACTAGACCTGGTCACCAGTCCTCAAAATTCACTTTTTCAGTATAATTATAAAAAAATATATACATTGGTGAAGGAACTTCACGTATCTCGAGAAAACTTAGGAAGAATAGCACCAGAGCTTTCGTAGTGTAACAAGACCATCATTGTGTGTGTGTGTGTGTGTGTGTGTGTGTGTGTATGTGTGTGCGCCATGAAACGTAGTAAGAGAAGTGTGTTGTGTAGTTTTTTTTTTCTGGGAAGAGCGAGAGGTAATCGAGACTGTGATCCGTTAATGGTTGTGGGCGTTCAGGTGTGGGACCGGAGGTACCACACCTGAACGTGCAGATCGCCTGCACGTCCAGAGACGTGCAGGCGATCTGCAAATCGTCGCACTGTAGAGGGAGAAGTCGGAAGCATGATCAAAGACGTGCGGATATCAGAGGTATCAAGAGTGAGGCGGAACCATGGCACCAGAGGCAAGCAAAGAAATGTTACCTGCAGAAGGTACCGGGGTATTAGGTCCGAAGAATGGGCTAATAACGAGGCAGTCGTGAGAAGGCGCCATAGCAGACAGAGGGCCGGGAGGAGGAGTTCCATGGACCTGAGACTCCATGGTAAGGTTACTTATTTTTCGAAAAAGGAGGAGGGGGGAACGTGGAGGAGTAGCTCCTAGGAGGAATGAAAGGGATCGTAAATCCCTCTTCGTGTCCAGGAGAGCCGGTAAACCGGCAATCCAGGTTAGCAACCTCGCATCCACCGAGCCACCTCGGCAGACAAGAGAGGGCAATGGGAAACCCATGAGGCATACTTCCTTCAACCACCACCTCCCGGAACCGACAGGCAGCCTCCAGAGGTACACCTGTCATGTGAAAGACAGCATAAGCCACCCCCTCCCGGGACTCCGGAGGGGGATTGGGACATCCCCAGATCATCCAGATTCCACGGCAGCCTACACTACCAAGGACCTCAATGGAATGGGAAGGACAATGACACCCATTACCCAACCTAGGAGCTAGAAATCCCGAGGGGAGGACCCCAAAGGCCAAAAGCAAGAAAGGGAGAGTGGAGAGGTGGGGAAAAAATGGATGGGAAAGATGGAGCAGAAAAGGGAGGCATGGGGGGTATTTAGGTTCAGCGGGAGGAAGAAAACCGAGAGGTCCAGTTCCTCAGATCAAACTTCTCTTCGCCACTACTAGGAGCTCCCCCCTTCTTGAAGATGAGAGGGGCTGAAACCCTGAAATAAGAGGCAATATAGAGGTTTTTGATTGCGGGGTAGTCTAAGAGCTTGTTTAATGCCTTTGGACTTAGGGCTGGTTTATAGCAATAGTAAAGAAATAAGAGTGTGCTCTTTCCTCAGGTACCTGGAGATAGCCTTCAGTCCAGACAGCGGCATCAGGAAACAGGACGCCTTCAGAGTGTTCGGTGCCGTGGCTGCCAACGAGGTGGGGAGGCCTTTGGCCTGGACCTTCCTGCAGGATCAGTGGGACACTATCTTTGAGTTGTGAGTACTATACAAAAATGATGGCCTAAGCTTAGATAGTGGGGAAGATACAGTTTACAAAGAAATTTTTATTGCGACGTTTCATCCAGGACTGAGAATAACTCAGTTAACCCACACTGTGAAGAGGTATATTCGACGTTTCAATCCGTCCTGGACTGTTGCAAAGTCTCGTCTGTCTCACGTGACTTTGATCCAACATGGATCAAAAGGTCGTTTAAAGTTTGTTCAAAATATGCGATAGTTGTGAAAGTATTGTTCAAGTTTTTTTTTTCCTAACACAAACTATTGGTGTCCCATCAAATGTTGAGTGATAGCGCGAGTTTCTGACATGACTGACACACTTCTATTTTACAGCTATGGAAAGGCCAAGTCCAGGTTGATAAAGTCCGCCACCAGCTCCTTCAACAGCGTCCAGCAGCTTAAGGAGGTGAACTCATCACTACTTAATGTTTGCACTTTTAGCAAGCGAAGTCAATTTCCTAAAGAAAAAAAAGATCAGGGGCTAATGTTTCAAATGTTTACTTAAATGAAAATATGTAACTTGAAAAAGAAGTATTTTATCCGCTAAATGATCTGAAGTGGTCGTCTTACTCGACCCATCCTGCTGTCATTGTTAAATAGGTAATCTTGCCACAAATATCACTATCAGGTTTTCCTGATAAATAAACTAAAAAAAATGTTCACTATTAAAAGACTGATTATATTTTTACCATTACAGCATTATCATAATTTTCACGTACATCAGGACTATTATAAATTAAGTGCAGACTTTCTCTAAGTTTCAAATATGTCGGTACTATCTCTATCATATAGATTATTAATACATTTAAGGGGGAACGACAAACCAGTAGGAGTTATGTAGTGTTTAGAGAATGAGAGACAAACATTCGATCCAAGATACGGGATGGTAGCTCCAGTTCTTTGGCTCAAGATGCTTCGCCGGCACCTTATCTGCTCCCTTGAGAGGTGAGTGATAGAAATATGCTAGCTCATCCTCATAGTTTAGTTGATGGGTAACTAATTCTTCAACCTATAGTATTCTAGGGAATTTAAACAATGTGTAGGTGAGTCCGATGATAATGAGTAGTGAGAATAGTGATAGGTAATTCACACTAGGCGAGTGCCTGAAAGCTGATGAAGGTTCTTGGTCAAAGGAACAGGAGCTACTCTTCCATACTTACCTCCCATTAATAAGATGATGTATAACCCTGGAGAGTTTAGCACTTCCCCGTGAATATAATAAATTAGGTAACCAGGAAGTACTACGGTGTAGACATGTAAGATTATAATGAACTAAATGTTCAAGTAGGAGAGTTAGATGATAGCTAACTAGGCATCTGAACAAGTTTAGTATTAGTTTAGTGATCATTTGCATGACTAACTCACCCACTTGTCTGCAGCTACGCTTGTTCCGTCGAGAACACTTGCAAGATTTGGAGTCAGTGTCCAGGTCAGTTCAGCAGGTAATAGAGCGCACCAAGATCAACATAGCCTGGATGACCAGCAACTACCAGGTGATCGTAAATTGGCTTCACAAGAACGGCTACTCCACAAAGCTCAGCAATGCTTAGACGTGAACTAGTGAACGTGTTGCTCATCTACTCGTACGAACGCGAAGGAGGGAACTACCTAATTACTTCCTTTACCGAAGTGTCCAGGAGAGTTTTAAGTTGCTGAAAAGTTCACCGGGACGCAGGTGAACTCTGAGAGGCTCAGCAATTCTGCTGACCATATATAAAAGCATCAGGTTGCACACACAAATGCGTTCAGCTTCCAGATTCTCTCCTGCAGTATACATTTTGTAATATATTCATTTATGTTTACCGGACCTCAAAATTATGGATTAAAAGTTAAATATTTGTGTATATCAGCTAAAATATTTTTAAAATAACCTCTAAATTTGCAAAATATCAATATTTGAGACCTATATTTTCCAGATGTTTTGGCTACTACTATAGTCTTAAAGATGAACCGTAAGGGATCTGATCAGGTGTGAAACAAATATTCAGATACTCTGAAGTCTCCCAAGATAATGCAAATGCTTAAAAATGGACCCTTTCAGAACTACTAAAATCCTAGTCAATTTATAGTCTTTCAGACTATACTTTCCTAAGGGTACTAAATTATTCCAGTTGCTTTTAGAAGAAGCGTATTTTTTTTTAGTGCATTTGGGTTATAACCTGGAAAGATCCAGGGTTTAAGCTTTAAAGTAAAAAGCGCCAAGAGTCTTAAGAATATAAAGAAGAAATATTGAGTCATAGACTATATTTTAAAACTCTTGCTCTAGATATTGTGATAAGCGGTGGCTCCTGGCATGGGCACCATCTTGAGGACCCAAAACTTAGCAAGTTCTTGGCTCTGAAGTACTGGGACTATTAAGGCTTTTAAAGTAAGTGCAGTGTCGTGAAGATTAAAATTAATTCTTACAGCCGTTGATCTTTGGTCATGGAGACACTCTTAGGATCATGATTCTAAAGAGATTGATTATGATAATATAATTAAGTAGATTGATAATAGTAGATCTTAAAGCTTGCAGTTCACATACTAGTAGGCCTTTAATAAATCAGTGTTGATGATAGTACGCTCTAGATTTGAAATTCCAGAAAATAGTAGGTCCTATATCTTAGTTCTTTTGACAGTAGGCTGGACATTGCATTACAGTAGTGATGTGAACTTGAAGAGCCGGTAAGAGCAAGTCCATGATCTAGAAGTTCAGATAGGAGACCCTCAGTTCCGGAATCTAGTAATGAGGAGAGACTGGAAGTACTGATAACAATAGGCCAATTATCTTTAATGTCCTACCGTTAATCAGAATTAATCTCGAAATCCAGATAAAACGTCCCCCGAAGTTGAGAGCTATAGTAAAAATTAATTTCAAAACCATAACCCCGCAGTTTCAGTAGCCTTTAAAGATGTGATCTCTTGTTTTAAGAGCCTTATCGGCATGACCTCTGTTTCAATAACTTAAGAAAAATGACTTCCAGACAGCCTTAGGCTCTTAATACTGACGTATAGAAATAAAATTTATGATACAGAAACCCTTAATTTAGAAGTAAAATGACTGTCCATGATCTTTCAGTAAATGACAATTTACTTTACCCCTTTAATTAATGATAAGTCCTACAGCTTCACTAAATCATTCAGATTGTTATAGTCTGTTCTTAATTGACAAACTTTACGTTCTTTATTTTGAACAGACAATAGTGTCATCCCTTTAAACTGAGCCATCATAACGTTTATGCACTCAGAAATCTACATATGCCTAATTTACTTGATCTATGATTTAGAAATTTAAATATTCTTTACATTAATGATAATCAAGACTGGTGGTGTGGTGTCCAGATGAAATATAGCCTCGATTCTCTCGACTTGATAAGCTGTAACATACGAAACTAATCTGATAACTGAGTCACTCTGGTCTTTGGGCTGTTGAATCTCATTTATCCTCCAGTCTCAGACTCGGCATCCTATGACAGAGTTATTTTAGTTTACTGTTTATACGCATTATGAATACTCTAGTAAAGATCCAATGAGTGAGTTATATATTTCACGTATTTGTTAATTTGATAAATATCTTTCATATTTGCATAAATCAGTGCTAGGATAGGAAGTCTGGTACAGAGAACTGGCATACCTTCTGCAATAAAGATGAGATTTACCTAGTCTGTTGCAGATGAAATTAGCTAGTTTTAGTTTATATAAAGTATTTTAATTTTACAAATATACCAATTACAACCTTGCATACTTTTGAATAACCATTTATATAAATTTTCCCATTATTATTATTATTATTATTATTATTATTATTATTATAAGAGCTAAACCTGAAAAGGTCATGCAACTCTGACAAATAACAACCAAAACACTGATTACCTAATTATTCACTAGATAGGAATAAAAGATGTTAATTAAAAATAATTGAATCATGGGGAAAACTGTCAAGCAATCGGATAAGAGACAATAGCCAGACAAAGCTGTACTAGACAGCGCCTCTATGTGCGAGATGATTATATATAATATTTTATATTATATATATATATATATATTATATATATATATATATATATATATTATATATATATATATATATATATATATATATATATATATATATATAAATGTGTGGAAAATATCGCTGGAATTTTCCATAAAGTTATATGCATCACCCAGATGAGGAAGTTAAGGGGTAGACACCTAGTGAGGTGTCAATTCTGTCCATACTTTTTTTGTAGATTCAGCTATTAACTCTTTAGGCTACTTACACGCTCCATTACCACTTACACTTAATTAACACTAAGTTAAGAGTTAGAGAAGGGTTTAGTTTAGTTTCACAAGTGTCCTTCACAAAAAACACCCAGGGCATTACCGGGGCCCAGGCCCCTCCCCTTCTGGACCACCAAGCTGGCGCCAACTGCTGCGTGTCAGTCACGTTTGAGTAGTGGGCGACGTAGGTCTGTATTATTCTCTTGATATTATCGTGGATTACCCGTACCACCGCGGCCTAGTTATATCACCTCGTTAGGCTCGCTATGGAGACCGTGACTGGGGTCCCCAAACAGGTATCCTCATGTGCACCCACAGCTAACACCTCGTATGTAAGTATACCAGTTGTACAGTGTTTACTGGTTGGCTGGGGTTTGCGTCAAGGTTGGTTAACTCTCGTACCAGACAGGACCTCGGAGAAACCTGTCTATCACAGGTACACTGCTTCCTATGCAGAGTAAAGGCAGACCCCGGAGGATTTCATGACAAACAGGGACTACTAACCCTACCAAGGAAATAAGTCACTGACATTTTGGGTTATCCTAGGTTCTCTACACATGCTGTTATCTACGATACTCTATGTATCTGTATTTGCGTATACCTGAATAAACTTACCAGTCGTGAAATCTCCACACAGCCTCTATTTTATACATATATCCATATACACATTATATATGTCTTGCCGATTAGGTAAAACGTGATTTTTGCCTTAAATAGCAACGCTCTTGTTGCCGAATAAGGCAAGCAAAAGTTTGTGTATGCAATAATTTCTCAAAAATCATTCTGAACCTAACGAAAAAATGTTTCATTTTGTTGGTTTATGGAAATATAAACACAAATGCAGTATGGTTTATTATTAAATTATTGTAAACTTGTCTAAACTTTATTTAAATTGCGCTTGTTATAATAAGGTTTGGTAATTGTTCTAATTTTTTTGTACAAAATTAATTTTTACATTAACATAAATGAAAAATATCTTAAATAGACCCCTGGCTGCCTTAAGAACGTAAGAAAGAAGGAACAGTGCAGCACGCCTACCGGCCCATGCGAGGTATATATATATGACGAGTAGATAAAATTGGTCAATTAGAATACATTTATTATTTTATTTATTAACACGTCGGCCGATCCCTACCAAGGCAGGGTGGCCAGAAAAAGAAAAACTTTCATCATTCACTCCATCACTATCTTGACAGAGGGGTGCTTTACACTACAGTTACAAAACTGCAACATTACCACCCCTCCTTCCCTTCAAGGGAGGTTCCTTGACGCTGGTGAAGGGCTCTTGATCTAGGAAACTGGAACTTAGCTCCAGTTCCCAGAATTAAGTCTGAATACCTTCCATCCCTCCCACAGGCGCTGTATAATCCTACGGCTTTAGCGCTTCCCTCTTGATTACAATCAATCAACCACCCCTCCTTCAGGATGCAGACACTGTACTTCCCATCTCCAGGACTCAAGTCCGGCCTGCCGGTTTCCCTGAATCCCTTCATAAATGTTACTTTGCTCACACTCCAACAGCACGACAAGTATTAAAAACCATTTGTCTCCATTCACTCCTATCAAATACGCTCACGCACGCCTGCTGGAAGTCCAAGCCCCTCGCACACAAAACCTCCTTTACCCCCTCCCTCCAGCCCTTCCTAGGCCGACCCCTTCCCCGCCTTCCCTCCGCTACAGATTTATACACTCGACGTCATTCTGTTTTGTTCCATTCTCTCTACATGTCCGAACCACCTCAACAACCCCTCCTCAGCCCTCTGGATAATAGTTTTGGTAATCCCACACCTTCTCCTAATTTCTAAACTGTGAATTCTCTGCATTATATTCAGACCACGCATTGCCCTCAGACATGACATCTCCACTGCCTCCATATTATATATAAACTAATATTATATATATATACCACGTAATATTAGCATTGACCCCAAACGCTGCTGCTGCTTCTTGCGGACTTAAATGCTTAAAGTATTGTTATTCCAGACGTTCTGTAACTTGACGCTGTAGCCATTCTGCTCCAGCCACTGATTTATAGTCATGTAGTTGGCATCCATCCAGTTGATGTTATTCTTGATGGTCTCTATTTTCTGCTCCACCTTTCTAGAAGCAGACTTGAGGTCCGTGCGATATTCGTCCACGAAGGTCATCACCTGACAAGTTATGCATAACTTAACAGTTTCATTGGTTAGGTACTACGAAATTCAAAACATTTAGAACAATGACACGGCATAACCGTCAAGTTCAAAACAATTATGTCCAGAATGGTTCATGTGAAAAAGTCTTAAGCCGATAAAAATATTTATAGCAGTACATGGGAATTTATCTTAAATTATTAATTCCCAACCACAGAAAAATATTAAAGAAAATTTACAGTGAAATTCCTACTTCACAAATGTATCCTACTCTATCATAATATGTAATCGTATTCAGTGGCACCTCCAGCTGTCCAGGAAGGTATGATGCCATCCTTGCCTGTACCAAGTAGAAAGGTTTGGGGGAAGAATAAAAACCGCCTGAGACTATTTGTTATGAATGCTTAAGGTTAAAGTTTCAGATATTTATTTTTATAGGACTATGGCAATCAATGTAAATCAAAAGTATTTTCTATTTATAAATAGGTAAACTCAGTTTTTATTAGGCTCTTGCCAAAAACTTGTTTGAGAGTGGCTAAACAGATATGTTAGGTAAAAGGACACACATGTAACTAATGTGACATTTTATTGTGGCAAAGTTTCACTCTCCGGGAGCTTTAAGGAGTCACCGCTTGACAAAGATCATGGAGAGCGAAACCTTGCCACAATAAACTGTCACATTAGTTGCACATGTGTCATTTTACTTAATTTGTCAGCAATTCTACCAGTCACAAGACGATCCGGTTCAGCCATTTTTCAGCACCAAGTGGAAGGCTGAGATATAGTAGTATTTTCGTCTAGCATCCTTACTTTCTCAAGCTAAATTCTTGGCTGATATCTGTTATTTGAATAGAGAAAGTTACCCCACAAGCCGATGGTCTCCAAACCTACTTTGACGAAGGTATATTGATGAGTAAGTTCCCTGTATTTTCTAGACTATTGGGACGCCATGAAGCTTGCAGCTACCTCTTTTACTCCATTGCACTGGGGATTGGTGTCAGCCAGTGTAAATGTACATACCATCTGCTTGCTATCGTAGAGTAGCGAGACTCCATTTGGACAGTTTTTCCTGCGATGAGGTGTGACAGTTAGAGCGACTGCGTTAGTGCTTGGCTGTGGCAAGAGCCCTCTTTATACTGTTAATTAATTTGTATCGTGCAATCTTTTAAGATCTATAGCAAATGGGACCATGATGCCCAGATTGGTATATCGGAGCACTGCCACAGTTACACCATATTTAATGAGGGTATTTGCAAGATTAATGAATACACCAAAACAAATATCCTGAGGTCCAGAATGATTAATTTATTCCCAAAATCCTTCCTAAAGTTAATTACTCTGCATGAGCTCACTACCAGGAGCTTATATATATATATATGAACTACGTCAGTGAATAGAGTAACCGACGAAGGGATCGAGGCCCGAAAATTGTCAGATCGGCGCAGTAACACATTAGCTGCGAGGGCTTCTGATTGATTTCGGACGTACTACATACTTCCGTCTGATGGAAGTGTGTGGAGGTATCCTCCACACACTTCCATCAGACGGAAGTATAACATCTTGTAGGAGTGAGGAAGAGCCATTTGTGAGTGGGGGGGGGGGAAGTTCGTGAGGCAGTGGGCAGAATGAAAGGGGGTAAGGCAGCTGGGACTGATGGTATAAAGATAGAAATGTTAAAAGCAGGTGGGGATATAGTTTTGGAGTGGTTGGTGCTTTTATTTAATAAATATATGGAAGAGGGTAAGGTACCTAGGGATTGGCAGAGACCATGCATAATTCCTTTGTTTAAAGGCAAAGGGGACAAAAGAGAGTGCAAAAATTATCGGGGAATAAGTCTGTTGAGTATACCTGGTAAAGTGTATGGTAGAGTTATTACTGAAAGAATTAAGAGCAAGACGGAGCAGGATAGCAGATGAACAAGGAGGCTTCAGAAAAGGTAGGGGGGGGTGTAGACCAAGTGATTACAGTGAAACATATAGGTGAACTATATTTAGATAAGGGTAAAGAGGTTTATGTGGCATTTATGAATTTGAAAAAGGCGTATGACAGGGTGAATAGGGGGCAATGTGGCAGATGTTGCAAATTATGGAATAGGAGTTAGGTTACTGAAAGCAGTGAAGAGTTTTTACGATGATAGTGAGGCTCGGGCTGGAATATATAGGAAAGAGGGAGATTATTTCCCAGTAAAAGTAGGCCTTAGACGAGGATGTGTGATGTCACCATGACTGTTCAGTATATTTATAGATGGGATTGTAAGAGAAGTGAATGCTCGGGTGTTGGCAAGAGGTGTGGGGTTAAAAGATAAAGAATCGAACACACATTGGGAGTTGTCACAGTTGCTCTTTGCTGATCACACTGTGCTTTTGGGAGATTCTGAAGAGAAGTTGCAGAGGTTGGTAGATGAGTTTGGTAGGGTATGTAAAAGAAGAAAATTAAAAGTGAATATAGGAAAGAGTAAGGTGATGACAAAAAATTAGGTAACGAAAGATTGAATATCAAATTGGAGGGAGAAGGTCTGGAGTAGGTGAATGTATTCATATATTTAGGAGTGGGCGTGTCAGCAGATGGGTCTATGAAAGATGTGAATCATAGAATTGATGGGGGGAAAAAGGTGAGTGGTGCACTTAAGAGTCTGTGGAGACAAAGGACTTTGTCCATAGAAGCAAAGAGGGGGAATGTATGAGAGTATAGTTATACCAACGCTCTTATATGGGTGTGAAGCATGGGTGATGAATGTTGCAACAAGAAGGCTGGAGACAGTGGAGATGTCATGTTTGAGAGCAATGTGTGGTGTGAATAAAATGCAGAGAATTCGTAGTTTGGAGGAGATGCAGGATTACCTAAACTATTATCCAGTGGGCTCAGGAAGGGTTGTTGAGGTGGTTCAGACATGTAGAGAGGATGGAAGAAAATAGAATGATTAAGAGAGTATAATTCTGTAGTGGAGGGAAAGCAGGGCAGGAGTCGGCCTAGGAAAGGTTGGAGGGAGGGGGTAAAGGAGATTTTGTATGTGAGGGGCTTGGACTCCTAGCAAGCATGCATGAGCGTTAGGAGTGAATGGAGACAAATGGTTTCTAGGACTTGACGTGCTTTTGAAGTGTGAGCAAGGTGACATTTATGAAGGGATTCAGGGAACCTGGCAAGCCGAACTTGAGTCCTGGAGATGAGAAGTAGTGCCTGCACTCCGAAAGAGGGGTGTTAATGTTGTGGTTTTATATCTGTAATGTAAGCGCGCCTCTGGCTAGATAGTGATAGTGAATGATGAAGGTTTTTGTTTTTCGGGCCACCCTGCCTTGGTGGGAAACTGCCGATGTGTTAATAAATAAAAAAAAATGCGAGAGATTGTACCTCCTTGAGATGCTGCCTGGTATTGAAGCCATGGGTTGCGGAGGTGATGAGAGAAGACGGTGCTCTCGAGCCAAAACTGTCAAAGAAAAAAAAAATTCAATAAAAAATATATCGCTAACTCTTTGTCCTGTGCAAATAAAAACTTATACAATGTATAATATACTAATTATATTTCTGCTTATGCATGTTAAACATAAGAAAGTTTGCATGGTATTCGTAGATGTATTAAGTGCTCTTACTAGTACTAAACCCAACCAAATTTGATTAAAATTGTCAAAGGACTGGCAAAGCTCTATTACCAGATGAACCAGTAAAGTTTATTAGTGTCAGACTAACTTCACCTCAGCAATGCTAAAGATCACTTACTTGTAACAAACCTTAAATCTATTTCAAGTTGTAACTCTAAACAAGATTGTTTTCCAATAGTATATTAATAACTTTCTTACTAGTTATAGATCATCTTAAAATTGTCTCTGAGGAAGGTCCAGGCTAGGGGGCGGCCAACATCATTATATGCTACTGATGCGAAGACAAGCTTCGAATCTTGCCTCCTGATGCCACTGTTGGGGTCGAAGGCCATCTCCAAATATCTAGAAAATTAAAATTAAATGTCATAATGAACAGGAATCGCAAAGCATCCAGTTCTTAATTTGTGTGCTCCCTATGATACAAGACTGCCCTCTCCTTCTTCAAGCTTATTTTTACTTTGAAGTTTTAGTTTTCCTTAATTTTAGTTTATACCGATAATACTGGAGGGTGTGTAAAGGTAGAAAGTTGAAAGTGAACATAGATAAGAGTAAGGTGATGAGGGTATCAAATGATTTAGATCAAGAAAAGTTGGATATCACATTGGAGAGAGGGAGTATGGAAGAAGTGAATGTTTTCAGATATTTGGGAGTTGACTTGTCAGCAGATGGGCTTATGAAGGATGAGAATAACCATATAAATGATGAAGGGAAAAAAGTGAGTGGTGCATTGAGGTATCTGTGGAGACAAAGAATGGAATGTACGGAAGTATAGAAGTACGAAAACACTTATATGGGTGTGAAGCTTGGGTTGCAAATGCTGCAGCAAGGAGGCGGCTGAAGGCAGTAGAGATGTCCTGTCTAAGGGCAATGTGTGGTGTAAATATTATGGAGAGAACTCGGAGTGTGGAAATTAGGTGTGGAGTTACTAAAAGTATTAGTCAGAGAGCTGAAGAGGGGTTGTTGAGGTGATTTGGTCATATAGAGAGAATGGATCAAAGTAGAATGACTTGGAGAGCGTATAAATCTGTAGGGGAAGGAAGGCGGGGTAGGGGTCGTTCTCGAAAATGTTTGAGGGAATGGGTAAAGGAGGTTTTATGGGCGAGGGGCTTGGACTTCCAGCAAGCATGTGTGAGCGTGTTAGACAGGAGTGAATGGAGACGAATGGTTTTTGGGACCTGACGATCTGTTGGAGTGTGAGCAGGGTAATATTTAGTGAAGGGATTGAGGGAAACCGGTTATTTTTATATAGCCGGACTTGAGTACTGGAAATGGGAAGTACAATGCCTGCACTTTAAAAGAGGGGTTTGTGATATTGGCAGTTCGGAGGGGTATGTTATATCTTTATATATGCTTCTAAACTGTCGTAACTGGGCGCCTCTGCAAAGACAGTTATGTGTGAGCGAGGTGAAAGTGTTGAATAATAATAATAATAATAATATCTTTATTTACTACAAGTACATGTACAAGGTATACAGTCCTAGCTGACAACAATGACATACTACTATATAGAAAGTCCCTTGTTATGCTCCGCATTTCGGTACATTTCGGGCAAATTAGGTCAGTGTCCCAGGATGCGACCCACACCAGTCGACTAACACCCAGGTACCCATTTTACTGATGGGGAACATAGACAACAGGTGGAAAGAAACACGTCCAATGTATTTTCTTTTGGGGGGATTTTCTTTCTTTTTGGGTCACCCTGCCTCGGTGGGAGACGGCCGACTTGTTGAAAAAAATACTGGCATGTGCAATGTTAGTTCCTTGCCATAGGATTTTGATAGGGAAGTTTTATTTTCGTTGGGGTCTTCGAGTTTTTCCCAGAGATGTGACCGACCCAAAACAATCGACTAACTCCACTGTTTACTGCTAGGTGAACAAGTGCAAGACTTTTCTCAAATGTCCTTCCTTGTCCATCCCTGAACGATGGTCACTCGAATGTTTAATGTTAAATACATTACCACTACGAAGTACGAGAGTACGCACCTGGAGAGGAGCCACAGGTGCCTGGTACAGCCCATAGCTCTGAGGAGTGTACGTTTCTCATTGGCTAAGTTACTCTTGAGGTACTGATTCCAAGCAAACACCCACTCCTCTGTTTCGCCCGCTGCTAGCGCATGGCAGTACACCACCGACTTGAGGCTTGGTGAGATGATCCTGCGAGACGGGACAAAATTATTATACAAATGGGAAATAAGCTATGTATGCCTAGCTTTTTATATATGTAGGAGCCAGGCAAACAAAATTTAATAAAACAGTTGACATCCACAATAAATACCAACACCTATAGATATTCATATAGTTTTCGTTATAACTGAAACCCTGAAGGATGTCACGAGGAACACTTCTAGTGTTCCGGGGACCATGTGATGGTCAACACAAGAAGATAGTTAAGTTCCTCAGAAGATTTTTCAAAGTTACAAAAGGCTTTTGCAATTTCAATATTAATTTTTTTTGAAGTTGCAAGACTTAGTGATTACATTAGCTATATGGATACTTTCGCTAGTAGCTTTGGATTAGAAGTACAACCATCAGTGTCTGTTTTTTTTTTTACCTGAAATGTTACAAAAACAATAGAAAGCTAAAATAGTCTCATTACTGAAGTAGATAACGGTGAAATATTCTTAACTCTGCAACAAATGCTCTTCAGTTTTACCCACCAATACACACGTTTATCAAAGAACATGTATAAATGTAGTTATTTTCACCAAGTGTAACATTAATATGTTACACTGGGAGAGTGATACCTTAGTCTCCCAAGTCAGTTATACATTTCATCGTTTTGAAAACAAGAAAATCTCTGCTTACTTACGGTTTCCTAGACTGAAAAGTTGCATACGCAATGAACAGTAAATCGATGATGCACACAATCTTACGTATTGTTGTCTGGGTTGGTCATCCATTGTCGGTAGAGAGAGAGTACATTGTCCAGACATTGCTTGTGGCGGAGTGAGCAGGCCCAGCTGACAGCCATAGTGCGCTTGTATTGTTCCAACAGGTGGTCATTCACACTGTTGTCCAGCCCTAATGTGTCGTATAACTGCACCACCATCTTCAGCATGTAGTTCTGTGGTGGGCAACAAGAAAACATACCCTCTTCAACATGTTTTTGTGCAGTTACGTTAATGAGGTATGTCTTAACCACAATCTACCTTTTCTGGAAAGAATCATTCATGTATAGTATAAGAAAATTCAAGATTCAGGTTAGGAGATATTTAATATGTATGAGAGAGAGGGGGGGCTAATATTAGTAAAAAAAATTCTTAATATTACTATAAAATGCTGCAATACTTACGTGGCTTTCGAGTTTAAAGCCATTAGCATACAGGAGGGTGAAAGACACTCACCTGTAGACCACCGTAGGCACCTGTACGTTGGAACATGCTGGTAAGGTAGGCCAGGTTGTTGATGGCTGCCCTCCAGGGCACATACTCAGTCTCATTGACCATGTAACTGTACAGGCCCAGGGCCACCCCATAGCTCACCTGACCTGCCACAAGCATTCAATTTTATAGTCAGAATTAAGATATTATATTCAACAGGGAAGTGCTAAACCCGTAAGGGTCATACAGCTCTTGAGAATTAGAGATAATCAGGTATCGCTACACTATCATCAGCAGGGAAGCCTCGTTGATTTAATTCCCAGAGCAACTAACTGGTTTCTGAAGAAAGCTTATTAAATTAAATTATCTTCAACTTTACACACTGCCTTGTGCAGTCAAAGTAAATTACAAGACTAGTGCCCATAATATGACATCCCTATATCGTAGTTCTTCTACACCATAGCACCTCTACGGATTTCACAGTTCCTCCCCCATTAAAAAATACAATAATATGGCAAACTAAATGAAAATGCGGTGCTGTAAATACGATAGTATATAGTAATATGAAGTTTCTGGCAGACACCTTCTGCGCAACTGCTCAATCTATCCATGAAGGCGAAAACCGGAGTGTACCAGAGAACAGTGGTACTAACACTTTATATGAATGTGAAGCATGGGTTTTAAAAGTTGCAGCGAGGAGTAGGCTGGAAGAGGTGGAGATGTCTGAAGGCAATGTGTGGCATGAATATCATGCAGAAAATTCTAAGTTTGGAGATTAAAAGTTGCAGGGTTACTGAAAGTGTTATCTTGAAGGCTGAGGAGGGGTTAATAAGATTGGAGCAAAACAGGATTACTTGGATGGTATATAAATCTGTAGTAGAGGGAAGGAAGGATAGGGGTTGTCCTACGAAACGTTGGAGGGGGTAAAGGAGGTTTTGTGTGCGAGGGGTTAGACATCTAAGCGTTTGTGACCATGTAAAATAGGAATTAAGATAATTTTTTTATGACTTTACGCACTGCCAGAGTGTAAGCAAGGTACCATTTATGAAGGGATTCCGGGAAACCGGTTAGCCGGACTTGAGTCCTGGAAGTGAGAAGTACAGTGCCTGTACTTTGAAGAAGGGGTGGGGATATTACAGTTTGCGGGGGCATCTGGGCTGTAAAGTCTGCGCACCTCTGGCAAGACAGTGATAGATATTTTTTTTTTTTTTAGATATTCAGAAAGCGTGGATCATCCAGTAAATGGAACTAAGAGATATCAGAGGTGGAAACACGAACCTGCTCGAGCAAGGTTCATGGCGTCGTCGATGATTTGAGCTCTGTTGATGGTAGTGATGACCGTGTGGTCCGTCAGTAGCTGCTGGATGAGCAAGTTCCAGTTGTGGTTGTCGTAGTTAACTCTGTAGAAACCCGTCTCCTGTAGGTTGAAGATGACCCAGTGGTCCTTGGTGGGCAGGGACTGGATGGTGATGAGTGTCTCCGTATCCTTCATCCAGACCTTGGCCCGAGTCTCGTTAAAGTTGGGATCGTCTCCACCTGTGTAGGTCAGTGGCACCCACCACTTATACTCCTCAGAGTTATTAGAATTTGGCTTCGCAACCATCAAGAAACGCTCCTGCAGAAAAAAAAGTAATTTGGTTTTCTGATATATACAGAATGTAGGCAGTGTTTTCTTAGATATCTTTTTATACATGTTGAATATTTCACAGGTTTCAGTGTCTTCTAATACTGTTTCATATTCTGGGGCATCTTTAGTTACACAGTACACCTGAACAAGGTTGTTTCAAGGTTAGTCTATGGTTAAGGTAAGTTTGTTATACAAGTAATAGTTACAGTATGACCCAAGGATAAAGCAGATCTTGTTTTATTGATTAATGTGCGCTATTCAAGGAGAAAATTGCCCTTCATTAGAAATCAGAGTTATTTCCTTAGAATTACAAAAACAAAACAGAATTCCCATCGGATATTCAAACTTTTCACAGACAGATGTCATTCCATATAGCAATTTTTTTTAAGTTAATCGGAAGCGCTAAATTCATAGGGGTCGTATAGCGCCTTGGGTATGGGAAGCATTCAGGTTCGTCACCATGTAAGGAACAAAATTAGCCATGAAGGCTGTTTCCGAGAAAAGGTTCAAGCATATTCGGAAATGCTTAAGACAACTTTTGTTCGAGGTAGAATAAAGATAATTTATTATATCAGTTTGGTATTAACTCCAGCTGAATAGTTTGTCCAGTTTCCTTCAAAATTGCTGTAAATTTATACTGAACCACTAAGGCGGAGAGAAAATTTGTCACATCTTTGTACGCTATTGCTACTTAAAACTTTATAAAATGATCAGGATATGTTGTATCTGTAATTACCAGGACATGGCGCTTCATTTCCTTTACAATGGCATAGCTTCCGGTCTTATAAAACCTGAAAATGTTGATATATTTAATCGCAAATAATAGTAATATAACATCAATTTAGTTGGGAAGAGGCAGAAAAGTTTAAAGTGCTATTAGTCCTACTTTTCAATTGCTTGAAGATAAAAGCTTTCATCGAAAGTTTTAATATCTCCATAGAATTTGTCATTCTCATATACATACCAGGAGCATTTCGCTCTAATTTGTGATACTCTGTCTTAAACCCTTTCTGACCCTTACTAATGAGCAGAAAAGATGTCCTTCACACCAGGTTACCTTACCTGAGAGACAGAAGCGGAAGTACCGTCTGGACTTCTCTCCACTGTGATGACAGGGTAACCCATCTGCAAGGTCCAGGTGTCCATGATGGTCTTGACAGTGAGATCGAGGGGCAACGTGCCGTCCTGGTGAGCCGCCTGTGTAAGGTGTTCCCACAGATCATCTTGTTCAGCGTTCCCATACTTGCTGCATCACAAAATATTACATCAACAACACAAGCAGTAAACAACTCTTTCATCATTGCATATTAAAGAGAAGTGAACAATGGATGAAAAAGAGGTCAGTAAGAACTTACAAAGTATTGAGATAGGTGCTCAGCCCCTTTCTGAAAGTGTCCTCCGTCAGGAAGTGGTTCATCATGCGGATGATGGAAGCTCCTGCCAGCGATTTGTAATAAGATAAATTTGTATTGTTTGACTTAAATATTATAACAATTAAATATTCACTGAACTAAATATTAGAATATTATTGTTATTACCGGCAAGTAACATTACTTGCGAAAAATACAAGTATTTTGGAGACACTTGTACAACATTTGAGAATCTTTACTGTGAAAACTTTTCGCCAGCCAGTGACCAGTCCAATACAAAGAAGGTGGGGAATTTGAAGTACCTCAGCCTGGATTCGAAGTGTTCAGTTTATCAATCTTGAGAAATATACAGCATATGTGCGGAAAAGTAGCTTATATATTGTTTAATTCTTCAACCTGTCGGTTGTTTAGATCATTTGCTGCCTAAGTTTATATCTTGGAGTGTGAGCAGGGTAATATATTGTGAAAAGATTTAGGGAAATTGGTTTGCCGGTCTTTAGAAATGGAGGTGGGAAGTATAATGCCTGCATGTTAAATTAGTTTGGGATATTTTTTATTTAGAGTGACACCTGAACTGTCGAATCTGCGCGCCTCTGGAAAGACAATGATAGTGTAAATGTTGATGAAAATGTTACTCTGTTTTTTTTTGGTCACCCTGCCTTGGTGGGAGACAGCCAGCGTGTTGAAATATAATACATACACACACACACACACACACACACACACACACACACACACACACACACACACACACAACACACACAGTAAAGAGACACCAGTAGCACGAATCATCGACCCCTCACACTACACAATAGAGGGAGTACAGTTACCTGGAGTTTACCTGGAGAGAGTTTAGGTGAGTACACACACAAACACACTCACCGAGGCAAGGTGACCTAAAAAAGAAACACTTTCTCCATCATTTACACAATATCACTGTTTTTGCAGAGGCGCCCATACATGACAGTTTATATGTCACTCCAGCCAATATCCTAAACCCCTCCTTTAAAGTGCAGGCATTGTGCTTCCCACCTCCAGGATTCAAGTCCGGCTAACCGGTTTTCTTGAAGTCCTTCACAAAATATTACCCTGCTCACAATCCAACAGCTCGTCGCGTCCCAAAAACCATTCGTCTCCATTCACTCTTAACACGCTCACACATACCTGCTGCATGTCCAAGCCCCTTGCACATAAAACCACTTTTACCCCTTCCCTCCATCTTTCCTAGGATGACCCCTACCCTTCCTCCCCTGCACTACAGATTTATATACCCTCCAAGTCAATTTATTTTGCTCCATCCTCTCTAAATGACAAAGCCACCTCAATAACTCCTCTGAATAATACTTGTAGTAACTCCACACCTCCTAAATGCTATACTACGAATTCTCTGCATAATATTTACACCACACATTGCCCGTAGACACGTCATCCCCACTGCCTCCAGCCGCTTTCTCGCAGCAGCACTCACAACCCATGCTTCACACCCACATGAGTATTGGTACTACTATACTCTTGTACATTCTCTTCTTTGCCTCCATGGATAACGTTTTTTTGTCTTTACAATTCCTCAATGCACCACTCACATTTTTTCCTTCATCAATTCTATGTTGAGTAAAAGGACACAAGTGCAGCTATTGTCACACTAGTTGCACTTGTGTACTTTTACTCAACATATTGTTGGTAATTCTACCAACATTAACGCATAAATTTATGGTTTATCTCGTCCTTCACAAACCCATCTGCTGACAAGTCTACTCCCAAATATCTGAACACATTCACTTCCATACTCCCTTTAATCTGATATCCAATTTGTCCTTAATAAGTAACTCGTTTGATACCCTCATAGTCTTACTCTTATCTATGTTCACTTTGAACTTCCTTCCATTACACTGGTATATGGACATTACCTTTGTTATAGGAGATACCATCAAAGATTTGACTAATCTCAGAAGGATGGCCTACACGAACGCTTATCTTGTGTGAGGCCTCCAGACTGTCCAAGGTGAGAACACTCTGCAGTTTGTTAATGACGAATAATTCGATCACTTTCCATGAAGGCTCAATCTAGAAATATATTTTATTTAAATATATCTGCCTGAACGCTGAGCATGATTTTTGAGAATTTAATAAATACTTCACAATTTTTTAGATTTGCTCGAGGAAAACTAACCTTGCTGAGACGATACAACTTACGATAATGGAAGAAACACACTGAGCCGATACTCAGGCAAGAATGCTTTACTCATATTTCTGTAATCCTTGCACTGTACGATGTACTTACGTGGTCCATGCCGATGTACTGAACGAAGGCAGCAAAACCTTCGTTGAGCCACAGGTCGGTCCACCACTTGGGTGTGACAATGTTGCCGAACCACTGATGGGCCAACTCGTGGGCCACTGTTAGGGCCACTCCGTACTGGTTAGATGGAGATGATTCATCAGGGTCGTACAATAATGTTGTCTCCCTGAAATAACAATCGTTTCAAAATTAGCCAATGGAACAAGTTAGGTGTACGTGTTATCTCAGATACATGTCCATTTTGAAGCTCTCTTGCGGCAACACCTTATATAATTGACGGGGTTAGTGGAATATCAATATGTGCTAGACTCATAGTTACATTGCTCTGGGAACTAGAGGTAATCAGGTCAGCGTCAAGAAAGGGTAGCTAAATTCCCTGGATCGAGTCTTTCACTGGCATCAAGGGGCCCCCCTCCTTGAAGGACGGGGTTGGAAGAGTAATGTTTTTCCATGGTGATGTTCGCACTGATTTATAGTTTAGTCATTGTAACAGTGTGAAAACTGACATACCTACCATATGCAGTGTTGAAGGCAGGCAGGAGCCCTGCTATTATCAATGTTGAAGAAAGGCAGCAGCCCAACTATTAACAATATTGAAGGTAGCAGTTAAGAAAAATAACGTTATGTCATTTAAAATAGTGATAATTCTTTGATATTTTAAACGCCCGTTTTGGAACTCTCATCTTCGCAGTTGCTATACTGAAACAATAGTTAAGTACAGAAAGTTGTAGTACCATGTTCATCACCTTCAAAAGACGAAGTGGAGGCATACAAGTTTCTCAGTAATGTGAAAATTATATAATTTAACCTTCCTACATAATTACAAATTACGATAAGATAATTTTTCCAAAGTGTCCACATTCCTGTTAGATTAAAGTCAGAAAAACATAAGTGGCTAATCCGTGGAACAAGGTTCCAGCTAGTCTTTAAGTGTCAAATTAATCCCAGTTGACTAGTTAATAACGTTTGCCAGAAGATGTAAAGGCAATTAGTGCACACTTTCTTAGATTACTAATACTATTATTAAATCTATTCCCAACTTTCTCATGCGCCCCATAAATAGAGCACAGCGAGTGTTTACCTGTAGGTTATGAGGCCCCAGTTCTCCATGGCTCCCGCAGAGAAGTCAGGGATAGCGATCATGTCCTGCTTGGGAAGCGGGTAAGGTTGATTGAAGTAATCCTCGAAGTGAGTAAGAATGGCAGGACCGACTCTCAGTGCATACTGTGCTTGTGTCAGGGCCTCCTCCCGAGCCCATACTGTGAACACCAACTCGCATGCATTACACAAACAGATGTGTCTAATCTAACAGCGGGTCACCAAACAGAAAATGAGGAAAATTTTATCCTCGAGAGAACCGAGTGTGTATGTACTAGTACACTCCTCAGTACACGTACTCTTGAATTATGTTTTTCTACGGCCTGTGGGTCATTCAGTATGTGACTTACTAGTACACTAGCAAGAATAACATCTAAAATATGCATTAAAATAATAGTTCAATGTATAACTGTGTATAACAAGTGGTCTATGATGTCTCCTAGTGAGAGCGCGAGTGGTTGTCATCTGCCATGTAAGTGTTCTTCCACAGGTTATTGGTTCACTATCTGCAGAGGTTAGTCCCTCATGATAGTCGTTCAACGGCTCTGTCTTTAGCTTGTTATTCTGTGTTTTTCTTTGTATTAGGTTTCTAACTCCTTTTTTAGTCTTTGACTTCCTGATCTTACAAGTTCTTCGTTATTAATGTGAAATATGGTAGGCACAGCTATCAGAATAAATCGCTTGCTGATTACAGTAGAAATATCTACCAAGATTAACATTTCACTGGTGTCAGTATAGTAAATCATTAACTATGACTCGAGTTCAAAAAGAGATGGTGTGGATATTATTATGGGGAGAGCTAAACCCTTAGGGATTATATAGCACCTATGGGGGGGGGGTTGTGGAAGACATTCAGGCTCATCTCGGGGAACTGGAAAACAGATCCAATTCCCAAGATCAGGAGCCCCTCACCAGCGTCGAGGAACCTCCCTTGAGGGGCTGGTGTGAATAGAAAAATGTTGCTGTTGAGGCTATGATAAGATCACTAATTTATATCCTTGGTAGTTCACCTCGCTCACTAATTTATATCCTTGGTAGTTCACCTCGCTCACTAATTTATATCCTTGGTAGTTCACCTCGCTCACTAATTTATATCCTTGGTGGTTCACCTCATTCACTAATTTATATCTTCGGTAGTTCACCTCGCTATTTTCCCTCATGGCGCGCGGCTGCTGAGACAGGAGTACGTATCTCGGATCAAACTATTCACTAACCTCTATTTGTTTTCTGTAGTTATATTATAATAATAGTGGATATGGCATTAGGATGGGCACCAATATCTTTCAGATTATTTACCAACAGGAATTCAAAAGAGGTGGCAGTTTTAGCTGGTTTATGGAGCAAGTAGGAGTGATAAGCTGCTTGGTGTGGCAATTTAGTCGGTGCAGAATTGAGTGATGACCTCTCTTGTAATTTCAATGAGTCTCTTGGTAGAGTAGCCAAACCATACCACGGGCGGGAATAGAACCCGCCATCAGAGAGTAATGAAACTCCAGTCCGACGCGCTAGCCACTGGGCCAGCTGGCTACAATAAGATTCGTCCAACTAGATATATTTATACACCATAGGAAGGTTAGCATGGTCACCACTGTGACCACAAATGCAAGTTTTTACAAACGGATCTCCCACAAGCGTGGTGCCTATGCTAACCTTCCTATGGTGCATAAATATACCTAGTTGGACGAATCTTATCGTAGCCAGTTGGCCCAGTAGCTAGAGTGTCGGACTGGAGTTTTATGACTGATCGCGGGTTCTATCCCCACCCGTGGTATGGTTTTCAATCGTGTCATTACGATTTCGCGAGTCATGAGAGTAGCCAAGGTGCAGCTGATGAATAACTGGGCTAATGACCGGTGAGGCCCTAGTTAGCAGGCAAGGGTTAGTGCTGGGATATAGTTTCACACAATTTTGATCTTTACCTTTAATTGAAAGTCTTTTCGTGAAGTTTTTGGGTCATTTGTTTAGTTTGTCGCAGGCTGATGAGTGAGACGAGTGCTTGCTCATCCTTAATGGATACTTTGGCAATTTTATCTGCAGATTCTTTTCCTCTAATACCAACGTTGCTTAGCATAGACTGGAGTGGTTTTACCCCGTGAATTCTAGGGGCTACGAAATGTTACGTGATGCGATGAGTTAAACTGTTTTGTCGTTCACAATTCACAAATAGCCTACTCTTAGGAGAGGAGATCTATGAAGATGGTTCGGTTCGTCTTGGACCACTGTTAAGTCACAAATGAGAGAGAAAAAAGCAGAAAAGACCGGAGTACAGGACGATGGTGGTGGTAGTAGTATTAAAGAGAGCAGTAGTGGTAATAGTAATGAGTTTCTGTGATTATGTAAGAGAAAGGAGGGGTACTAGAACTCCCTCAGACAGCGGGTTATGGTAGGTTGTTCACAAAACTTACCCACATGACCAGTCTGCATTCAATAAACAATCTTTAAAAAAATATTTTCCATACAAAACAGAAATATAAACACGCTGATAATGCATTGACCTCTGAATTGGATGTGGTCGATGTCAGTGGCATTAAGGTGCGCGAAGTCCGACACAACGAAGGCGACAAGGTAAGTGGACATGGGGACGGAGACCTGGAACTGGTCCCACAACCACCCCTCCTGACCCTCCCTGCAACACAAAAACAATAAGTGATAAAATCTACTTCGCCTTCCAAAATACACTAGCTTTTATCGGGACTGACGACTGGCATTACCGTATTTACTGAACCACTAAAAGGGTTGACGTACACAGGAAAAGTGTTGTTTATAGGCATGTTGGAGATGGAGGTCATATTCGCCTCCCTGGCCAAGTACACCTCAAAGGTGGCCTTCAGTCCTGGCTCATCAAAGCATGGGAAGGCTCGACGCGCATCTGTGGCTTGGAACTGTGTCACTGCCAAAAACCTGTTGACAAATATAACATGATTCTTCACAATGCTTTATCTTGGAATATTTATTTATCTGGATTTTTTTTGCAATTTTAACAAAATTAAAATTGCAATATTTAAAAAAAAATTATCATACAATTTTACAGTTGGGACAAAAAAAAAACTAGATTAATAAAACAGTTACAGCAATGTAGTTATGTAATGACTGTTGGCTTTAAAGCCTACATCTATCGCTTTAGTTTCACAAATTTCTCTTAGGAGATAATTATAGGAACTATTTCTGAATTGCTACATTACTTAGGAACAATATCACACTAAAACACTCACTTTAAATTACCAGCTGCGTCTCTGTAGGTGGACCTGTAGAAACCTCTGAGATTATCGTTGAGGAACCCAGTGAACTCCATAGAGAGGATGTACTTGTGGCCCTGCTGCAGCGCCTCCTCCAGGTGGGCCACGTAGAACTCTCTCTCATTGTCATATTCATGCTTCTTGATCACTAAGTCTGCAGCGCCCTCCTGGTTGTCCTTGTCAATTAACTAACCAAAGAAATGTTTATAGGTTTATTCGTTCTTGAAATGAAATAAGTGATATAATGGTGCTACATATATTTTACAACTTTTGAAATGAACTTTAACTGTTAACTTTTATTTCATCGATTAAATTATAAGTTATTCTAAATCCTAAGACAATGTCTCACTCGTATTGTTTCATTCTTGGTAATGATATCAACGATGTGGAGGGTGATGTTGAGAGTGGGCTCCAGCACCTCCATCTCCACCTCCACGTAGCCCAAGATACTGAAGTTGCCATTGATGAAGGGCTGAAGTTTGACCAGGTAGTGAAGGGGCTTCAGTGCTCTAGGAAGACGTATATTCTTCTTTTCCTCCTTTAGGGTTGACGTGATTGTGTTGGCGATAGCAACAGGTGTAGTAGAAGCGGTAGTTGTAGTAGCAGGCGTGGTGGTGGGAGTTTCTCTGGTGGTTGTTGTTGAAGCAGCTTCGTAGATTGGTGTGGGAAGTTGTCTAGGGTACTGTTAATATATATATATATATAGGAGTGAATGGAGACGAATGGTATTTGGGACCTGACGAGCTGTTAGTGTGAGCAGGGTAATATTTAGGGAAGGGATTGAGGGAAACCGGTTATTTTTTTATAGCCAGACTTGAGTCCTGGAAATGGGAAGTACAATGCCCACGGTTCAAGATAATTACTATCACACATTTAAAGGAAAAAGTACTAAATTCCAAGTAGTTATTATACTCCTAAGAAAATGCTAAATCCGTAGCAGTTGTACAAGGCTAGGGAATGGCAGGTAATCAGATTGGATCAAAGGGCACAAAAAAAAAGAGAGTACTTTAAATTCCTTGAACCAATCGGTACACCAATTGAAGGGTTAAAAGTATTTAGAATTAAGGAATTCACAGTTCCATAAGATGTAAAAATCACACACAGTACACTAATAACTAGGTTCAATTTAGTGATTTTGTTGCATACCATTTGTACAGTAAAAGCTAATAATACTAACCGTGTATTATGTGATCAGCATACATTACCCATGAAAATCCTGCATGAATACTAAATATTTCCAAGAAGTGACTTACCCGATGGTGTTTGAATCTCTGCGGCGCCTCTACCGGGGTTCCTGCGATCCTCTGATGGGGAGTGTGGTAGACAAAGATTCCCGTAGCTACGATGGTACTGATGATGATAGTCAGAGACCATCTAAAGGTGAAGTGTTGCGGCCACTTGACAAACATTTCCCTGTTCTTGCTGTAGCTGGCCATACTGGTGTCGCTGCCTGAGAAAGTGATTTTTTTTTTTCCTGATATTTTTCAGAGTATTTCCGCACACCAAGAGCAGTTTAAAAAATGTAAACCATAGAGTAATTTCTTTAACTCGCCTTTGGCTTAAGACTGCCAGTTTTTTCTTTTTTTAGATAGGGCGACAACTACAACTTCGTATTTATATTTACGGCGAAGCGTTAAACCCGTAAAGGTCATACAGCATTTGTGGATAGGAGGAGTACGAGGTAATAGTTTGTTCCGAGGAAGGCTAGGGAGGTAGCTAGGATTCCTTGAATAAGTTAACACCCTACAACTTAAGGCACATTCCTAACAGGGCTAAGGTTTCCTAAAATTCGGCAGTTATTCTTCCTTGTTTCACTATACAAAAATCACCAGTTTACCTATAAAGCCAAAGATATCAGTTCTGACCCGGGGTCAGTTCTGGTCACCACAGCTGGGTGTGGCGACCTGCCAAGGCAACTACGGTAGAACTGTTTGCTCAGTAGTATGATCTAGAGACTTGTGGACTCTCAGTAACTTACGAAATCGTAATAACACGATTACAAACCAACCAGGGAACGGGTAGGTTTGAACCCATGGCGAGTGAGTTTAGCGCTTCCCCATACTTTAACAATAATAGTTTTTCGGGTAATGACAGGAGATAAAACGGTGAACATAATGTTGGCTGCCTAAGTGTCTACCACTATCTGGATATAAAAATCCATAGCAACACTTACAACGTCTCCATTGTTTTGTTACATTACTAGGTTTCTAAACATAAGACGCGTGTTAGAGCCTCGCATTGCTCCTTATAACATTTGTCTACAAGATTATTGATGGGTTATCCGTAATAAAATGGTTATAACTATGACCATAATTTTTAAAGGGGTGGACCGTTAAGTCAGCAGAAGTCCTCGGTCGGATGACCAGAAGCTCCAGCTGTGGGTCATCATGTGACAAAGACCCGGGTCAGAAAACACTAATTCTGCTTCACGACAAACCTTACCAAACCAGCCAGGGTCATCCGTAGTTCATCAGCCCCTAGTACCGCAATGCAGTAACTGGTTTGTGCCGAGGCAGCTCGCAACGGTACAGCAGAGTTGCTGGACAGGGTAATGCTTGAGGCTCGTACACTAACCCTCCAGCAGTTCCGTATTTGTACTTCAACATATTTTGAATCATGCTTTCTTAATAAACAGGGGAGGGGGGCTTTGATGTAGGTGAAATGTTCTTGAGCCAAAGAATTGGAGCTACCCCTCCCTTTGGATCGAATCTGATTGTTCCCGCTCCCCTAGATACGGATGCAGGGATCTTCCATTGCCTGGGAAATGTGAAGAAATAAAATTTGAAGGGACCGGATAACGAAAGTCAGTGCCATGCACTCAATTCTAATGTCTCTTGCAAGTCCGTCTTCTTGCGTAATATTATTATATTCACTGGGAAGCGCAATTAAACTCGGAGTCCAGGGCAATAAGGATTTATTCAAGGACAGGGAGGATAGGTCAAATTCTTTGTATCAAGAGCCCCTCACCAGCATCAGGGTACGTTCCCTGAGGGGTCGTGGTTAGCAATGATAGTGTAAATAGAAGTGCCTGTCTGTACAATTCATTTGAATCTCCATTTTAATTATTCGTAATACAGTAATATGGATTGTGACCTTAATGATAATGGTCCAGTAGAGGTCTTAATCTTCATTAAATTAAATAGTTATATTTACAAGAAGCCGTAAACTAATGCGGGTCCATTTAATGGAAGGAATAGTGGAGGCTCGATACTCCGTCACATAGCTAGGCTTTCCTATACAACCTAAAGACACTATGCATCAACAAAATAGCAAATACACAGATTTCCCCTTTCCTAAATACTTAAACCAGTTTAAAATTCGCTAGAGCAGACGGACATAGTGTGTTCAGCTTGCAAGATGACATACAACACAGCGATTGAGAAATCATTGTTATTAGTCATGAGGAAGCACTATACCTGTGGGTGTCATTCAGCGCATTATGTATGGGAAGCAATCGCGTTTGATCCCGTGGAGGATCTATCCAGTTCTTTGGATCAGGAGCCCTTTTCTAGCCTCGTCTGACTCCAAATCTTTAATGCTGACAATTATCTCCTATGGAAACTTATGTTGCACCCCAAATTATTCCTTTCCGTGCATTGAGGTAGAGGGAAGGAGGATGGGCTTGTTGACTATAGGGACATTCTCATCTTCACGCAGCGACCGAAATATTAGTTAATAACGGTCTTGGAAGGGGTACTCTTGCAGTTGGCATTTTCGCTCCCTTCTTGCAAGGCTATCGTTATAGCTTGAGCAAATTTTATTCGATCGGCTTCAGATTTTCTGCGCTAGTATACTGTAATCAGAGCAAGGTTCATGTACCTACATCGGGCACCGGTGGTCTGGCTATCTGTGCACTGATTATGTTAACATGATTATGTTAACATAATCAGGTAAACTCATTTCTTTACTATTGTACAATAGGTATTCGAGGCCTGGACACCTACTTTGGGTATTACAAAACTGTTTATTTCACTAATGCTAAACTGGATTTTATTATCTTTTTATCTTTATTTAATGATTATCTAGTTAATTCAACTTTTTCATGCTTCTGGAGGCCTATGCAAGAGGGAAACCACTAAAGCTTAACTGTAATCCCTTTCTTAATAATCTGTGTATTTATTTGTGCCTTAGTTCATACATAAGCATGCTACATCATGTCTCAGGCTATTTAGAGCAAGCAATGAGGAGAGTTAGTTACAACTAAACTGAGTGCAGTAGTTTCCACAAGCTTGATAGCAACAAGTAATAGTTCAGTTTGTTAAGGTGGAAGCCCATTTATTAATTCTGATACACCTCTGCACTTTTGATATCACTATGTCCACCTATGCTCCCAAGAAGGTAATCTTGCACAATCCTCACCTTCGATTACTTTCTAAAGTCAATGCTCCGGAACACATTCACCACCTTAGGACAGAGAATAATGTTACAAACTAACAACGCTGATATCTTCCTTAACCCTGCAAGTTGGAGGGCAGGAAATATTGTTATAACCTAGAAATTTCCTAATTGCTGTTGCAACATGACGCTTTCGTAATCCCCGTACTGTAATGTATAACACTTACCTTCGTCACTTGTTTGTTTTGATGTCAGTGCATTAAGTGAAAGTTTTGCTCAAACGTCCCGGGTTACACCCTGCCCACCCGAGGAAAGGCAAGCACAGACTGACCGACACCGCTTGCATGACAACTCAACTCCGGCCACTCCCACCTACCTTGCAGAACCTGCAAATATTAGAGCCTACAAGACTAGAAATTATGCTGGACCTCATCTTCACCAACAACAACGATCTGATACGTAATATAACCGCATCAAAGACAATACACACAGATCACAACATAATAGCGGTACAGACATGTATGCACATGGCTTCTGACCAGCAAAATGTGATCAGTCATGAGGGTGTCTTCACAAAATTCAACTTCAATAACAAAAACATACAATGGGAACATGTCAGCCATGCCCTAAATGAAACAAGATGGGAAGATATCCTAAACAACACAGATCCGAACCTTTGCCTAGAAAAAAATAACTGTGGTTCTTGGGGTCTGCACAAGACACATTCCATTAAGAAAAAGAGAAGATGCAAGCTAGAGAGAGAGAAACTCCCTATACAGACGAAGGCAGAGAATCACAGAGCTACTGAGAGGGACCAACATATCTAAAATACGTAGGGAGGCACAGGTCAGTCAAATAGCAAATATCGAACTTAAGCTGAAGGAATCTTTCAGGAGACACGAATATCAGGAAAAAACTACAAGCCATAAAGGAAACTGAAAAAAATCTTCTCTTATGCCAAATCTAAGGTAAAAACAACAAGTATTGGGCCCTGCTTAGGCGAGATGGGACATACACAGATGACAGCAAAGAAATGAGTGAGATACTAAAGTCCCAATGCTACTCAATGTTCAGTGAGCCGCTGCCCAGATTAAGGCTTGACAATCTAAATGAATTCTTTATGAACGAGACCCAAAATTTGGTCATCTCAAAAAATCTCTTATATTATCCTAACACCACAAGACTTTGAAATGGCAATAAATGACATGCCCATGCACTCTGCCCCAGGCCCAGACTCGTGGAACTCCGTGTTCATCTAGAACTGCAGAAGCCCCTGTCACATGCCTTCAGCATTCTGTGGAGAGAGCATTGATCCAGGGGTCATCCCACACTCACTAAAAAGCAACAGACATAGCCCCACTCTACAAAGGTGGCAGTAAAGCAATTGCAAAGAACTACAGACTGATAGCACTAACATCCCACTTCATAAAAATCTTTGAAAGGGTCCTAACAAGCAAGATCAGAAACCACGTAGGTACCCATCAATTTCACAACCCACGGAAACACTGGGTTAGAGCAGGCCGCTTCTGCCTGTCCCAGCTACTGGACCACTATGACAATGTCCTGGATGCTATAGAGGATAAACAAAACGCAGATGTCGTATACACAGACTTTGCAAAAGCCTTCGACAAGTGTGACCACGGTGTAATAGCGCACAAAATTCGTGATAAAGGAATAACAGGAAAAGTTGGTAGATGGATCTGTAACTTCCTAATAGTAAACAGAGTAAAGTCCGAGGCAGCTACGGTGAAAAGTTCTGTTCCACAAGGCACAGTACTCGCTCCCATCCTATTCCTCATCCTCATATCTGACATAGAGATGTAAGTCATAGCTCCGTGTCTTCCTTTTTCCTTTGCATATGACACCAGAATTGCCATGACGGTGTCCTTCATCAAAGACACCGCAAGACTCCAAGCGGACATCAACCAAATCTTCAAATGGGTCACTCAAAACAATATGAAGTTCAATGAAGAGAAATTTCAACTACTCAGATATGAAAAACTTTAGGAAATTAAAAACTGTATCAGGGTATACAACAAATTCTAACCATACAATAGAGCAAAAAAGTAATGTGAAGGACCTGGGAGTGATAATGCCAGAGGATCTCGCCTTCAA